TGCTTGCTACAGTCAATGACCTTACCATATGGATGTACTACGAGAACTACCTGTTTACAGTCATGATGTGCGGATATGCTGGTAAGTGATATCTCGAAACCTTTTTGAGCATGTCTAATGACTGTAAATCTAGGACCGCCTGCTTGGAGACGCATCGGGGAGTTGGCGACCCAGGTGTACGCGCTCGGCATCCATCAAGATAGAAAGTGCGCCCAAGCGCCAACTTGGTTGGCGGAAACTCGCCGCAGACTCTTTTGTGCGGCTTACAACCAAGACAAATCCATTTCCACATTCCTTGGTCGCCCTGTAAGAATCAGTAAGAGACATACCGATATTCACCTGCCGCTTGATTTAGCCGATGATGAAGTGACGGGCAACGAGGAGGTACTCAACGCCGCCATACAAGCTTTAGGACCTGATGGCTGGAACACCAAAGGTAGATGGCTTCGGGCGTCATGGATCGTGAGTAACTCAACATCCCTCAAACCCAACCAAACTGACATATTTCCAGCGTCTGCGCCAAATGTCTCTCGAATTTCGCGAAGAGATACTCGAGTTTTCCTTTGTCAAAATCGATGCAAATGCGGAAGCTCAACTCTTGTACGCTTTTGTCAGTACCGTTTCCCTGCTTTCACTAATACATGCGTAGGGATATATCTCAGCGCATAGGTACATGTTGGGATATGTTACCGAAGCACATGCGTTATTGGAAAACATGTTGGGACGATGACGTTCCCACCAAAATCTGCTTGATGCTGTGCATCGTTCATCTTACCCACTGGTATAATGAGTTCATGATCCAAAAGTTGCTCGACTACAGCCCTTTGACACTTAACACGGCATTGCTGCGTGTTTCAATTGACCTACTATCCAACACTCTCACTCTGGGTACAATACGCGATCGGTCATATGATGTTCACCGCGACATGCTACATTGCGTGTTGCTCTTTGGGATTCCGGCTGCCTCAGTCTTAGCCACAGCCCTTCGTGAGCAACACCATACAGGCCAGCAGTTTCCGTCTGGAATCTCCCGATCAGAAATCATCCGCATGCTTAGCGTGCTCATTTCGCATCTTGATGCTGCTGCGCACATGGAAAACTCTGGAGCGAGGCATGGCGAAGCAAACTACAATTTGTGTCGCAAAGCGAGTAAGACTTTCACAAAGATCATCGACACAGTGTTGGATCCAAAGGCTGTGGAGGAGATAACACCAGCCAGTGATCAGGTGGGAATGGACCTTGGCTTGGATCTATTCTCTGGTGCTGGGTTAGATGGTTTCGAGGGAATGGATTTTCCAGGGCTGGGAATTGGTCCTAGCACAAGTGGAGGTGTCAATGATGCTTCTAATGTAGATTGGGGAGCCCTTGGACAGTGGAATGCTTGGACCGGACCTGTGTAAAGCACTTTGCACCGGTTTTCATACTAATATTACCATCTAGCCTATTTAATAGCGCCTGCAGCCCATAATTTTAATCTTGGAATCTTCTCGAGTATAAATCAACTGAAAAAGCTCCTGTTTTTAGTTTTCCAACGCGGTTGTTTTCTTGATAGTCGTGAACCGGAACCCGAAGCCAGCCAGGAACGCCGCACCACTAAATGCAATGGCGACAATCATCGGGCCCCTGAAACCTGACACATACGCCTTGAGTACTCCCTCGATATATTGAGCTGGAATTCGATCTCTGATCTCACTAGCGCCAGCTTCGAGGACCAAAGAAGGGTTTAGTCCAGCTGCAGTGACAGCCAAGCGCTTGAGAAGGATGTTCGAGAACGCGGTCTGAGCAGCTGAGACACCAAAGGCACCTCCCATTGTTTGGATGACTGTTTACGGGGTTAGAAATAGAATAAAACAGGTCGATATTACCGTTGGACTTACAAAGAAGCGTGGCTGTAGTTAGAGGTACGTCAGCTTCCTTGGTCGAGGCTTGAATGAGCATAACAGGGACTTGGAAACTGATGCCAACACCCAATCCTGCAAGGATCTACAAAAGAATATATTAGCAAGGTAATCCGAACTGAAAAAGCAGTGTACGTACCTGGTAGCCGATCCAAATTCGACTAGGAGAATCGATGTCAAAAGTGTAAATCAAACCAGAGCCAATGGCTGTGACACCGGCGCCAAGGATCATCCATGGGAAGGCATACCCGGTTTTCGAAATGATTTGGCCGACAAGGACGACGCATAGTGCTGGCAGTGTGGTTAGTGAGAGCTTGAAGGGAATGACTCAGTGCACTCACTGACTGCGAGGATGTAAGGAACAGTGCGGACACCACTTGTTGATGCTGAGACACCTTGAACAGACTCTGTTTCTTGTTAGAACCAGTACGTATCATTGTAGCTGTTATAAGGATACACATACGGAAGTAAATCGGGATGTAGTAGAACGTAATTGAAAACGCAGCGTTGATCCTGACAAATGTTAGTATCGAACTCCCATCCCCTGAGTCTTGGACAAAAACTTACAAGAAGGCGAAAGTCGATCCAACAGCAACTGTGCGCCTCTTGATGATACGGTCATGCACCATGGCATTCTCACCTTGCCACCACTGCGCCACAATAAATAGTACGATGAAGATGGCAAAGCCCACGAGTGTGCCAATGACTTTGGAGTCGCCCCAGCTCTTTGTTGTGCCACCCCATTGCATAGCGAGAATGAAGCACACAACCGCACCGATGATGAGAGCAACGCCGATGACATCCAACTGACGAAGCATACCGCGCCAGTCAGGACGAGTCTTCGGTGGCTCGTTGACGAAGAAGAGGAGAATGAAGAGGCATGATACGGCGCCAACAGGAAGATTGATGTAAAAGCTACAATCACACTTAGCCCACTTTCTCACATACATATCCAGACGAGCAGAGAGATCACTTACCACCATCGCCACGACACATGGCTCGTAAATGCACCTCCAATCAACGGTCCAACCACGCTAGCAAACCCATACGCAGCACCCATAAGCCCACTATACTTTGGCCTATCGGCCGCCGGTACCAAAACAGCGATAATCGTGTACGAGCCCGCAAACAACCCCGCAGCTCCAACACCGCAAATCGCACGGCCGATGATCAGCGCAACTGAACTGGGTGCAGCACCTACATAGTAAGTATCTTAAAATCAGTATTTCCCGTTACTTGAAAGAGGGGGCGGCCGTGAAGGGAGGGATAAAAGCGTACCGCACACCACACTGCCCAGCTCGAAAAACCCAATTGAGATTAGGTACGTCCATTTTAGCGGGAAAAACGTGTAGAGTCGACCCCAGGATGCTTGCGTTGCAGCTGTTGTGACGAAGAAGGCAGAGCCGTACCACCCAATATCTTCTAGACTGTGGAATTCATCGGTGATTTTGGGGATGGCTGTTGAGATAATGGTCTGCGATTTGCGCCGTTTGGTTAGCATTGCTTTTTTCCCCCTTGATACCGAGAAACAAAGGATTTCGTGGATTTACTTACGAAATCGAGAGAAGCCTGTCGCGGTGTTTGTTAGCATTTGTTCTTCTCTCCTTTTTTTGGTTGGGGTTGAATGGAAAGGGAAAGGGAAAGGAAGGATATACTTACCAAGAAAATCGCCAAAACAAGTCCAGTCAGCACGAGCAAAAACCGTCCTTTGGATAACTGGATATGCGCGTCTTCTTGCAAATTGAGTGATTCGTTGCTAGACTGCGGATCCTTTTCTGAATCTGGTGTTGCGAGTGTCTTTTCCTTCATCTTTTCCTTTTTCCTTACTTCACGATATCGGCCGAGGGGAGGGGGGCGAAATCAAAGTAAAAATTTAAATGTGCAAAATAGGAAGAAACTGGAAACGACAATAATCTCTACTCAAGATGTGTTTTTTTTTCGCGGCGTAGAAATGCGTAGTCAGTTGGTAAATCCCCAAAATTCCACAAGTCTTCCTACTACTACTATGTACTACTACCTACGCTTTACTAACAACAAAGCACTCAAATAATATTAACAGCCCAGCCCCCATCGGCTCTCCACTAGCCACACCCTCCCTTTCTGACTAATTCGCTCGCACGCAAGTTCCGAGTGCGAGGTCGGACAAGCAAAATGCGCGAGATTGATGGGGTGCGAGGGGTCGTGCGCATTGAGAAGGGAGAGGTTGCGATGTACGGAGGTCCGGTGCCAAGGCGGAGGTCCGTCGGCGTGTGATTTGTTGATTTGGACAACGAATATGGAATTGAGTGTTTCGGTGGTAATGAACGGAATGTAGAAGAAGGGTGAATGATGCGTGATATCGGACGTAACGTGTTGTGTTGATTGTTTCGCGGATGTCCTGTGAGTGCGTGGTCTGCTGGTCCGTTTGGGAGTCCGGTGTGATGTGTGTTGTGAATGCTGGGGGTCGTTCATGTCTTTGTTTCATATGTGCCTGTCATTCATCTCGTCTCTTGTGCGGATGCAAAATAGAGTGTGCAGAGATATCGTGCTTTTCTCTAGGGTGCGGTGCCTGGATGGCGGAGGTGAAGGTGGATAACAACTTGATGGACATGGAAAATGAGGCCATTTGGATGTCAAAATGTTGTGTCCCTTCATTTTTCTATATTCTTGATTCATCAAGTTTTCGTTTCGATGTGATATGTGAAAAAAGGGGACCAATTACGATCCCGTGAGTTGAAGTCGCAAACCTGAAGAGGATATGCAATGGCAGTCGATGATGTAGATAATGTATCTAGCTATGAATACAAGTTTTAGTGATGAAAAGACATCGCGCGGGATTAAATGAGGTAGCCTTGACTTCCTCCTTCTGTAACATGCTCATAACAAATGAGGTCGCGTGGACAATTCTTCGGCTGAGCAACAACCGAGTCACAGTTATTCACCCAGCAATATCGTTCACAAATTTTGTTTTTGGAAGTGTTAAATAGTGGCCAAAACATGAATTGTAAACGTAAAGGAGCGGTAAAAATCTAGGAGAGCTACAAAAAGGAAGACCAAAGCTAGCCAACAACAATTAAGCTGATGCAAGATTCACCAATAAAGACGCCAATTTCAAAGACCATCTCAGATAGCAACATCAGCAGACTCCATCACAGCCTCCTCAAACATGGTGTCCACCAACTTCGCCTTGTGCTCGTCCCTAGGTTTGATGTCAAACACGAAGGGCCTCGGTCGTGTAATGAGCAGGTCCGTCCAGTCAGTAACGTGTACTGGGATATCTGTCAATGCGTCAGTAAGCTATTTATTGGATGCGAAGATTATTTTTGATACGTACCCACTCCGATCTTGTTCTTCTTCTTAGAGACGTTGAATGCCCAAGCCAAAGATCCCATAATGGTGACCAATTGGTAGTCAACAATTTCCATACCCATGCAGTTGCGACGTCCATAGCCGAAGACATGGTGGTTGATAACATTGGGGTACTTGGTGAGAGGCTCTTTGTACGTTGGATATTTGGGGTTCAAATAGCGATCCGGGTTGAACTCTTCAGGGTTTGGATAGAGAGCCTCATCACTGCGTCGTGCCCATTCTGTAGGGTGGACGAGTGTACCCTTCTCAATTAAATATCCATCGTAAACATCATCCCTCTCGGCTTCGTGAGGTACACCGGTAGGTACGGGTGGCCTCCAGCGGATCAACTCCTTTCCGACAGCCCTAAGAATAGGAAGCTTGGGCGCATCAGCCCATGTGGGAAGACGGTTAGGACCGCAGACTTCGTCAATCTCCTCCTGGAGTTTCTTTTGCCACTGAGGGTAATGACACATTGCCAGGAAGTAAGTCTGGATGGGGGAAGACATGGGTAATGATGCTGTGATAGCAAGCATGCCGACAGCAAAAGCGCCCTCCTTGTCGTCCTGAACTCCGCTCGGGAACTTGAGACGCTCTTGCTCCTGGAGAAACGTGCGCGACCATGAGTGACCATCGATACCAGCTTCCATCTTAGCTTTGACTGCTTGCATTGCCCCCACCCAAAACTCCCGCTGGGCATCGTGGCGTTTCTTTTCCCTCCAGTACCAGGGGTTAAGAACATTTGGCAACAGCATGATGATCGGAACTTTGTTTGGAAGCTGTCCGGAAGGAGATATAGCAGATAAAAGACCAGAGGAGCTTTTGTTCAGGGCAATGCTGAGGGTAGGATCTTCCCATGCTAGGCGAGCACTCACGCGATGTGTGAACTCTTCAGCAAGTCTAGGGTAGTTTCGGTTATCCCTCTTCAACAGGTACATCATTCTCTTAATTTCAACGTGTGTAAAACCGTACATGTCGTAGTTGTAGGTCTTTGCGAGACACTCGTGGGCGAATTTTCGATGCCTTGTAAGCGCCTCTGTAGGTCACTCGGTCAGCGATACTCCAGGTAGAAATCACATTGTTCTTACCATTATTATCCAGTAGGGGAAGATACTCCGCATCAGTCTTAGCGCCAGGAATGTTTGGTGTAGGAGCACGATTCGAATAGTGAGAACCACGTTTGGCGAGGATGTCTTGAGCCATCTTTTCGCTATTGATTCGGACGTGTTTGGTGCCAAACAGCGTCAACTGGTAGATCGGACCATATTCATCATGCTTTCAATTTATTAGTTGAAAATTACGAACATATAGTGGTGTACTCACCCATTCTGCAAACTTCTTATAAACGTCGGTAGAGGGCATTTGGAAGATAGGTCCGATCCACGGTATTAAACCTTCATAATCAGGTTACTAGTGACAACAGAATTTCGCTCAGAAATTTACCTTTTGGACCGGGGATCGTTTTGTATTGGGCTTTCTTTGGGTCATTCTTGACAAGGCGGATGATAGCCCAAAGAACGGCACTGATTGCACTAAAGGCAATCGCAGGGGCGAAAACAGAAAGCAGAGACTGCGATCCAGTCTGAATCAGTTCCTCAATCATTTTGAATGTTTTTGAGAGAAGAAGAGTGAACTGATGTTTGAAGTGAGTATGTTCTATGGCCTCTCTACTACCTTTTTATCTTCTTACTCACTCTCAGCTTCCTCCTCAGTCCGACTTCCGTATCCGCACGTTGGCATGCTACTCTTGGCCCAGCCTCATCCTTCCAACATTGCTATTGCATGCAAACAATGGCACAATCCACATGAAGCCTAACGCGGATGTATCATCGCGAGGTCCGAGGACTCGCGCCAGCCATAGAGGTCGGTGTTGCGACTACCGGCCAGCCGACAATCATGGAGCGGGTGTGGAGAGCCGAGTGCTATTAGGAACAGAAAATTGTGAACCATATTGGTTTCTTCTAGCATCTGGAGCAGTGAGACTGACCCGAGATTGAAGTGAGCTCTGTTCATCGATCGATACAAGGCATCCTGTTATCACGTGATGCACAGCACTAAATGTCTTAGCAAACCCCGATGTTCTCAATGCAAAGCTTGCTCTATTGGTGACATGGTGTCTTATTCTTGCTGATTCTCGTTTCTTAATTGGCTAGTTCTTCGCTGGTAGCTATCAGCCTCCATCCAGTGAGATTGCGGATGTCCGCTAAACAGTCGGCAAGCCACCGAAGTAAGCACCAAGGGACCGATGGCGCCATGTCGGCGGACATCCGCGATACCACCACTTACTAACAACCCCTGTTGTCAGCCTACATCGTAGACATTTCGTGCATCTAGGCTCCATCCGTACGTGGGATGTTTCTTAGCTATCAAACATGAGCCAATCGGGTCAGCGTGACGACGCTGTGGCTTTGGGCTGATGCCTTTCTTAGTTACAGGAACCGATGCATGCATGCAATCCGGCAAGGGAGAGAGTTTATCGATCTATGGCATGGATCAAGGAACTCAGCTGTGGCTCCAAGTCCTCAGTAAAATCCCGCTGGAGTTGCGAATACCGCCGCCCATCAGGACAATATGCTGGGTTTTCAGCGATGAGGCGTTGTGGCTATGACTCTAGCTCTATACTATTTCCATTTTTCTTACGACCGAATACGATATTGGACCCAAATCTCGATTTGATAGAAGGTGCCAGGTCAGTATAAAATGGTACTACCAGAAGTCACTCCGATGGTTACCACGTTGTCTTTGTGTTTATCCCTCATCCCTGCTGCGCACGCATTGCATCTTTAGCACTTCACCATTACCGATCCGTTACCATGAAATCCTTGGCATCACTCGCTTTTATCACGTTTACCCTTGCACAGCATGCACATGCGGTCACCTCACAGCAGATCCACATAGACTTGGCCAAGACCCTATCGTCGGGATCTGAGGTGGTATCAACCACTGACCCTTCCTACGCAACCGGCTTTACACAACGATGGACCGTGTACTCCAAAGCTGCACCGGCTTACGACATTGCTGTGAAGCCTGCCACCGCTACAGATGTTCAAAAAATTATCCAGTATGCAACTAAGAACAGTGTCCCATTCTTGGCAACGGGCGGTGGTCACGGTTACACCACTTCCTTGTCTGGCGTGAAGGGCGCACTCAACATTGACTTGAGTAAATTCAGAAAAGTGGTTGTGGATGCTTCAGCCAATACTATGACCATTGGAGCTGCTACGATTTTTGCTGATATGTTGGATCCATTGTACGCTGCTGGCAAACAAATGCGTAAGTTCCAGCGAGTCTCATTACGGAACAAGATTAACATCGCATGCAGCATCTGGTGGGTCCTCAACCCCTAGCATTATAGGCGTTACCCTAGGTGGGGGCATCGGGCCTCTAACCGGTGCTCACGGTCTACTGATCGACTCACTGCTCTCCGTTGAGATGGTGACTGGCTCCGGTCAGATCCTAACGGTATCGGCTACTAAAAACTCCGATCTTTTCTGGGGAATGAGAGGAGCGGGAGTTAACTTCGGCATTGTCACCTCAGCGACATACCGGATCTATGATACGATCAACAATGGCATGGTGTACAATGCCGACATAAGTTTCGACGGGGAGAAGAACGAGACGATTTTCAAGATTTTGCGTTCCTACCAAGGAACCCAAGACAATAAGCTTGCAATTTCCGTGGCCTCTTCAGTCAAGAACAAAGTTGTGAGTCTTACCGTCTCTCCTGTCACGTACTAGATAGCCTGGCTAACATCTGCAGCCCGAGATCAGTATTAGCGTCATTTATTTTGGCACTAAAGAACAAGGTGATGCAGCTATCAAAGCCTTCCTTGATCAACAGCCGACATTCAGCAACATCTCTGTTGTACCCTACAACAAGCTAGTTTACGTTGCAAATTTTGGCGGCGACGTGTTCGCTCGCATAAAGGGTGTTAGAGCTGACCTGTGGGGTTACCAACTGAACGATGTTACGGTGTCCACACTCAGTAGCACGTACACAAAGTTCATCAACTTTGTTCTCGACAACCCTGCACTCGAAAACCCTCTTTGGCTAGTAGAGAAGTTTGGTCTGGGAGTTACCGCAACCATCCCCGACGAGTCTACTGCGTATGCATGGCGCAAAGCTGTTGCCTATGGCTTTTTCTCGTTCAACCTGCCCGCAAATGTGTCTGAACAGATGACGAACACTGTTGATCAGTTCTCTGAGAAGATCCGCAGCGGTCTGACTTCGGGCTGTGGAAATCCTCAGGGCAACGTATTTCCTAACTATGCACGGGGTATCGAGACGCCAGAGCAGGTTTATGGCAAGTCAAAGTTGCCGAAACTACGATCGCTTAAAAAGAAGTACGACCCAAAGGGATTGTTCAATAAGTACAACTCCTTTGCTTGAGTTGGATTGGGGCAGTCTACTGTATGCAAATTGGGGCGGCATTCTGTTGTTATATCTTTGTATCCGCGCATAATATATATTCGAGTTACCTCTACATAAGCGTAAAAACTTGAACCCCTCATACCTTTACTCTCGTGTACCACTCTTCATCTTTTCTTTTTTTTGCTGCACTCTTCCATTCATTTCCATCGGCTTAGGAAATTTAGCATAGCTACTGAAAATAGCGAACAATTTTGTTAGTACCCGTTGCAAACACTCCAAATTCAATCTCAACTCGTTTGGCCCCCAAGCCAGGCTTTGTGAGCCAAATTTCTGATAACATTCAACACTTAAAAACTTGTCCCAGCGCGGAAGTTTGAAGAACATGTCCAAATATGAGGAGATGTATCTGGACATCATTCATCTTCCCAACTCCCCATTTCCCAGTCAATGGCAATGTGATTTATGTAAGAATATCAAATATGACAAGTTTTGGACGAATCTTTGCTTGCATGGGCATATAATAAAGAAAAATAAGCTCGATTTGTTTTATGTTACTAATGCGAATAGACGCTCAATGCTCAATTTTATAACAGCAACACTCCATCTAACACTGTAAACCCCCCCAAAATGAACGGCACTTCTCTACACCTTCCATCGCTCTCCACATACTCTTGATGTCTCGCAACTTTCCCATCCCACCAATAGCCCCTATACAGCCTCCATTCTCCGATATTGTATTGCTGGCTTCCAGCACACCTCTACGGTTCACACCTAAGCCAAAACGGCCACAGCATTGACGAGCACAACACCAAAGTACAAAGCGACCCTGAAGCGGTTGAGCCATCCCCAGTATGCAATCCTCTCATGGTACTAATCGCACACACTCCTGTCAGCCATCAAGCAAGTAAAAAAAGAGTAACAACTTACATAAGCAGTCTGCATCCCCGCATCCTTCTCCGGAAAGTCCGCATAATGAAACTCCTCCTGCTCCCGAAACTTCTGAGCCAACGCATCGTTAAGCGGAACCACATAATGCAGCGTAAAGGGGAAGATCAAAAACGCCATGACGCTGCTGGTCACGTATAGCATGGTCGTTTTGTTGGTGAAGGAGCCGGATTTGTCCCAAGAGCCGTAGGCGAGGATAAGGGAGAGAATGAGGCTCGAGGCACTGAGCACGGTGCCCGGGACTTGGGCGCGGCGAAATTGCGTGTGCCATTGGCGGATGGCGAGGATGGGTGAGGGCGAGACGAGGATGGAGGGGATGGAAATGCTGCTTAAGGCGGTGTTCATGCCTAGCAGGAAGGTAGCTTGCACCAAATTGGCGACTTGGAGAGTGGCGAAGGAGACCATGATTGGAAGTAGGATAGGATGGTGGTAGTTGAAGAGAGAAGGAGTAGGGGATTGATGAGATGGATGAGCAAGCTACTGGTTGTGATTGTTGTGATAGCAGCAATGATTCAAGCGTTTATATCTGGATGTTGGACTTTGTAATTGTTACTACGGATGTCCCATCGTGTCTTCCCCTCATGTCCGATGTTGCATCTCCATCTCCAAGTCCTACACTATCACACACGATAGAAGTAATACGGCTCTCCATACGCATCCCGTACTATCTTGCTCCGGAGATCGAAAGAACACTCAATATCTTGCATCGGTGGTCGGTAGCCGGTGTTCAGAATTATCATCAGACGGTTGTTGAAGTTCGACCTCAGCCCCCCGTCTTGGCAGGGACGTTGATACACAACAACGGAGTGCCTGTCATCACGTGACAATACACGCTACGGAGTTCCGTACAACGCCAACACAAATGCAGGACAAAGAGAGTGGGCCAGCATCAATGCAGCTGACAAACAAAAATAGCGAAGACGCAGTGCCGGGACCCCGAGGATGTGAATTTGTAATAGTGGGTAGCACAACAGATAATACGATCCAAGGCGATTTTGATTTAGATCGTGACGTTAACTGTGACTGTGCCGCATTGCAACCAGTCGTATTTCAGCCCCCAGCCGCACCTTCTTCCTGCTTCCTTCGTGCGCAGATACTTTTCACGCTTGAGCTGAAAAATATAACGCCTCAGGATTCTGTCAGCCATCAGCGTAGCCCATTTACATCAAAGTCCTCCATCCAAACCCCCACGCGCCATAACGCACCTACTACACACACACATACATCAATCAAAACACGCATACACATTCCATACTCCACCAAATCTCAATAGGCCAACCACAATGGCGAGCTTCCCCACTTTTCTCAAGTCCCAGCTCCTCTACAAGCCCAGACTACCACAGCCGGGAACATTTGCTGGCAAGACTGTCATCGTTACAGGCGCAAACACTGGTCTTGGTCTAGAAGCAACACGGCACTTTGTCCGCTGCGGCGCCGCAACTGTCATCATCGCATGCCGTACGCTGTCCAAAGGTGAAGCCGCCAAGCGCGAAATCGAAGCAAGCGAGAAGCGCAGCGGCGTACTCCAAGTCTGGGAACTCGACCTCTCCTCGTACGCCAGCGTCAAAGCCTTCGCAAAGCGCTGCGAGACGCTCCCTCGTCTCGACGTCTGCGTCGAGAACGCCGGCATAGCAACGGGAAAGTTTTCGCGTGCAGAAGGCCACGAAGCCCACATCACCGTCAATGTGATTTCCACATTCCTGCTCGCACTGCTGCTACTACCCATCATGCGCAGGTCGGCTCTCTCAACGGGAACAACACCCTATCTCACCATTGTCACATCAGAAGTGCACCACTGGACTCAGCTGCCGCAGAAGAAAGAACCAAGCATCTTCGCTGCGCTCGACGATGAGTCAAAGGCAGATATGGCGGACCGCTACAACGTCTCCAAGCTGCTGGAGATCCTCGCGTTGAGGTACATGACTAGAGTGCTGATTAAGGATCGTGCAAAGTATCCCGTGGTCATCAATTGCGTTACACCGGGTCTGTGCAAGTCGGATCTTGTCAAGGATATGGGTATGGCGCCTGTCGTGTTCAAGACGTTGCTGGGTCGTACGCTCGAGGTTGGCAGTCGCACCCTGGTTAATGCGGTGGCGCTACCTGACAGCGCCGGCGAGTACATTATTGACGATCACGTGTCTGAGCCGTCGAAGCTGGTGGTCGGTGAAGAGGGCGCGGAGTTATCGAAGAGGGTTTGGTTCGAGTTGGCAGACATCTTGGAGAAGGCTTGTCCTGGAGTGACCCAGAACATTGCTGCGTAGATGTGTGAGCACACTGCGGCGGCAGTGTTGTGCCGGTAAGTTGCAGGCGTACTAGTTGTGAGGCACGTGACTCCTGGGATCATATGATTGTCAGTTAGACGTATGGGGAACGGTACAGCGACAACACTGGGATGGCATGAAACTTTCTTCATCTCATTTCTCTTTAATCATTCGGCTCTTGTATTTTCGTTCTATTCTTCTATTTGCTTGCTAGCACAAGCCCTCTGCTAAAATGTTTCATTGCAGAAGGGCGTCCTTGTTCACATGAGGGATAATGAAAATATACCTCGCCAGTAATTCAGCTCTATTCATGACACGTCAATTCTAGACAATGCTTTTGGCTAATTCTTTACACGCTAATGCAATAACAATGTCAGGTTGTGATTTCTATCAGCTCCATCTATGGAGGAAGTACCGAGCCTTTTCAAGCACACTGCTGACAAGATGCGTGGGATGATTCTCCAGCTTGCTGATGCAACAAAGCAAGCTGTTGCCACCCTCAAATATTGGTAACCGTCTGTTGTCTGGGAATGTGACGACCGGGGTGACTGCAGGGGTATTGAGAAAGCGTTCCTCATCGCTGGGTAGAAGTGCGTCAATACCCACTTCCCGGGACTGGATCCCTGTATTGATTCGCTCTATTGTCCTAAGCGACCAGCAGGCCATGGATGCCCGGTAGATCGCCACCGGCCACCATATGGGTCGCGCGTCGACCGGTAGATTGTCGATCAGCCGGAAGATCTGGCCAGCATGGAACAAGACATAGTTCCCTTCTTCGGGATAGCGTACTCGGCTCCACATCTCAGCGCATGCTGATGCTGATGATGGAGGCTCCTCTTTGGCACATTTCTCAATGTCAGGGATGCTTGTGTATACATTTAAGCTAACCAGATGTAGCATGATTATGCCCGTCCAATCCACTGGTACGGTCCAAGGTTTGTTCTCGCTGTCCATGGTGGCCTGCGAATGTCGATTGAGAAGTGTAGCCAAGTCTTGAACCAAACCCTGTGTCTCTTGTAGGCGGCCCAATACTTTAGTCTTGGAAAGGACACGATGCCTGTTGGTCGATTCATCGTTATCGAAGATGCGAAGAAGCTGTTGCTGTTCCAAGACCATGGCTTGTAGGGGGTGGAGAAGGAGACGCAGGTGATATGGAGGTACATCATCACTACCTGTTAGTCGACCTTGGAGAAAACTCCGGAAGAGACCATTTAGTGACGGTAGCTCGCGGCCCATTTGGATCTCGTTTGCACCAGGCTGTCCAATCCAGTCGTTGTACGATTGTGCGTTCCAGAGATTGCTATCATTGGGTAAAGGTACTTGCAAATCGCAGTTTGAGAGTACAGGAGGAACATCATGAAGCAAGCTTGTCTCAAGGTCCACATAGACCCATGCATGTACATGGCTACAAATGTCAGATCATACCACATGATCACGTCAAAAGGAGTTCTTACCGATTTTTTGTCTCAATCTCTTTCCATCTCTCCCATCGGCTCTCACTATCTAAGCCGTGGTCGTTGAACCCGGGCTCGGGATTTAGAATTCCACTGCTCTTCAACAGCTAGCCGATATGTTAGCATATTATTCATCTTTTCTCCAAGATGACAGTAACTTACACTCAGGTACTGGCCTCGTTTTGACATGGCATACTGATTTGTGTTAACTTTACGCAAAGGCAAATCACAGATGATACATACCGAAATAAAAGAACTCTTCCCACTTCGCACACAGAGTGTGAGTAATTGCAATGCAATGCCTCCCACCATTGCCTGTGATATGCATCGGCGTTCGAGAACATGGTTCAGTGCCACCATGCACACCTCAATCAAACCATAAGCGAATACGTGTGACTCATGGTGATCTGTAAGCATAGCGCCATGTGTAATGACGAGAATGATCAGCAACATGCCTACGTCGACCGCGTCAATATTCAAAATGTCTTGGATGTTAGCGGTAGGGGAGCCAGGGAGACCAAGGTAGGGTTGAACCGAGTCAATGCGTGCTGTGTAGATCTCGATAAAGTGTATTAGTACATGCGACGGAGGCAGCGATACGATGCGGCCAAAAAGGCCTTCGGTCGATGATGATGGCGAGCTGCCAATCTGCAGCGCACGTTGGAGCAGCAACTGCACAGTGGCCACTAGTCGATCACGAGCGTCATGTGACAAGGCCATAGTACTATCGCTCTTGTTACTGGGTAGCCCATCCCAGGCATCTGGCCGGGCCAGGACATCCACGAGTTCACCAAGTACATCATCTGTTGCGTATGAGCTGCTTATTGATATATCCTGGTTCTTCTTGTTTGGGCTAGAAGCATATTGGCTGTTCGTCAGGCCTAATGACAAACTCGACTTGATATGAGGGCTTGTAAAAGGCGGAGTCGGGGGTTGGTTTGGGCCGTGGAAGAGCCCCTGTTGCTGCTTGTACAAATTATGATTCCCAGGCCCGCGCGGAGAAAGATGAGGTTCGTTCGTTTGCATCTCTGGACGTGGCATAGATGGGAAGAGGTGAGTAGATGTGGTCCCGTCCATAGGCTCGCCACCTAGGGATACGGGATATGGAAATCCCATGAAGTCTTCGTACCCAGTAAGATCCAGTTGTCCTTGGGGCAGAGTCGTATCTACAAGCATGTATAGTTCGCTATTGTTTGTTTGACCGTCAGGCAGGATGTAGGCAGGAAATTGATCCATTGTCGTATTTTGATTGCCATCCTGGGCAACAGTGTTTGTTGGTGTTGTCAAGGGCTTATTGCGCGCAGATGACGTCCGAGAAGCTCTCGGTCGGCGCGAGGAGCACCTTGGTTGACATTCATAATTTCTTGCAACACACTGAGAGCACGGCACCTAGTTGCTGCGTTAGAGACCGTTGTAATGTTCCAGTATTCCGAATTCTCGGTGCTTGGGTAGCAATTCGCTTGACTAACCTTGCGGTCACATCGTGCTTTTGAAATGGCACACCGGGTGCAAGCGATGAGAGTAGCAGTATCCATCTTGAATCGGTGTCGAGGTTACCAAGTAGCAGGTAACGTACCGGGATATAAGAATGAATATGGTGGGAGAGTAGTCTCCACTGCCTGCAAGGAAAACAAGGAACGATGCACAAGGATGGAACAGACACCGGTGAGTGCAGGAGGATACGAGTATGTAGGATTGTGGGCCTAGGCGACGCATACGAGATATGTCGTTCACTGGCGGCTCCGTCTATTTCCGCAGAAGTGTACCTGAAAGGCGTGCTGGAACCCGTCTCCAATGTTATCAGCAGGGGTCCACCTGGCTAATTAAAATATTGTTGCTCCAAATGGACTGTACTTCATATAGTTAATAGCGCCGTCTACTAGCACCTTTTCCTATTTTTTCGCGGATTATATTCGCGATATAGTAAAGGGGGGCACTGAATAGAAAAAATACTACAAAGTTATAATCTCGTAGTAGTATGATATAGCTTTAAACGTAGTGAGTTTCTTTCGTATTGAGAGTTGCGCTGGGTTTTGGTTGCGAAAGTAGCCCGCGTGGAGTACCGGTAGTATTGTCAACCGGGTGGGGTCGTCAGCTTTGAGGCGCCAGACCCACGGGTTTGTAGCTAGCGGATTTCCCAAACCATGTTAGATTATGTAAGCATGCTTACCGAAACACGCATCAGCAGAGGGTATTCACCTCCCCCCCGATAAGAGTGAGACGTCCCCTCTATAAGCAGGGCCCCCTACTTATAGAGAGGGGACGTTTCAATCTTATCGGGGGGGAGGTGAATACCCTCTGCCACACGCATCAAGTTGCAGCTTGTAGTTATGGCTGTCGAATCAGCGGTGCATGTTGAGAAGAGCTGTCATAAATGGAGTTGCTCACGTAGTCGTGTAGCACTTGTCGTTTAGGTTTATGACTAGCGTAATGATTCAAAGAGTTTTTGAACAATGGTCTTCCTTAGTCTAGGGCTTATCTTCTGGGGTAGACTAGGATCATTCAACCTATGTGCGTGGGTAGAATACGAGCTGCAACATGGTGTGCTTGTGATGCAACTTAGACGCCACGCTGATCGGTTGGTTAGGGAAACGGCTCGGCTTCACAGCGCCACACAAAATAGAAATGTGTAACATGGTACACTACGGCTTTCTAGGAGCCGAGTAGTTATATGTCGCGACACTAGCTCGGTAGCGCTCCGCCCGGACTTTCAAGCTAAGCAGGGGAGGATCACACAGACATGTATGTGCAAGTATGTGGATGCCTTTTGCCTACCGCTGTTAGTCGAGGAGTTCCGCGGATATTTTAGTACGGATGTGTTTGGTTTAGCAGCATTGTCCGTTTATGAGCCAGGTCAAACGTATGGATTTAAAACAGCTAGAAACGGCGTCTATCCAAAATACACCAATTAGATCCAAGACGAAAAGAACGTGGAGTTGAATGATATTTAATATAGCTTACAGATGACGGAAATTACTAAAATAAGCTGTGTTCACAATTTTACCGAACCACACTCTTCTCGCATTTCAGATCAACTTTCGCCAGATCATAGCCGTGTAAGGAGCCGTCTTTCGCTATCGCCAATCAGCTTATTGGCCGTGTATACAATTTCTATGCTACCCAAGCAACCGCTCTCCCGAGAGCGATTTTTTGTACAGAACGGAGGTCTCGGTTCACGAGCGTTGCTCTATGAGTACAGAATTTGGTAAGCGTTGGTTTGATTTAGTTTGTCCCTTCTGTCCTTGGGATGACTATTCTATTAAATTTGATATCTTCTAGGGTGCCGCGCTGTTGTTAAAATTCGTTTCATGACATAAATGTAGAGGATGTATATTTCCTAGACGATACTGCTTTATTAGGTGACCAAATGGTAACTTGACACGCTCTCTCTTTTCAGCTGTTTCTAATCGAGATGGATCCATGTACCAAGCTAAACTCGTAACGATCTTCGAAATGCTACCAAAAGCGGTATTATAAAAACGGAAAGTGGGAAACGGAGTACTAAGGGCCTGTTCGGTGCTGCGTTTTGCGTCTCCGTTTTGCGTTTTATTGACCAGATTTAGACTCCATTGCGAAAACGAACCTGAAAATGCTGAACTATTCAGCTAGCCGCACGTTTCTGATCACAAAACGAACCTCCTTTTTATTCGCATTTCTATATTAAAATAAGCCATGTCTAGTGCTTAGCTACACTATATTTTCATCTAGTTAAGAACAACGGAGGCTTGTTTTCTGGATGTTAGTCTCTAACTCTAGCTGCGTTTTCAAACTCTGTTTTAGCACGCGATCTATTGGATGCATTGCATCGCGAACTTTCTAGCTATAACTATAGGATCCAGTCTATCTACGCGATCTATCCACCTAATCCATATAAATCACGTGACCTAACCGCAAATACAAAACGGAGCTCCATCCGAACAGCTCCTCCGTTTTCTATCCCAATATAGATAAGCCCAGATGCAAAGCTAGCTGATGCTACTGATAACGATCTATACCTAGATAGGTATCCAATACCAAGACGCAAGATGCGGCATCGAACAGGCCCTTAGTGATGCCCCCGTAGCCCCTACGCTAACACCTTGGCACTACATTACTACTTGCATGCGTCCAAGGTCGCCCATCATGCGGCGGCTCTCGGTCGATCGGGAAATCTAGAAATAAGATTTGCCTAACGCCAACAGTATGAAGCCAGCTTAGAAACGCTGTTCCTACTACAGCGTAACTAATATTATTTTACTTATTATCCGTTCATATATATATAGTAAGTATAGAGTAAGCGTAATCAACAACTCTAATGTTCTCTTAAAATAATATTGTGGTAGTGTTGGTATCCTGTAGTGAAGGCTGGTCGGTTTGGTGGATTAGCCCGCTTGGTCTGGGGTTTTCAGCTTTCTCGATCGACCGAGAGGGCGGGTGCTTGCTTACTATCCGATAAGCACTGTCTCAGCGTACCATGTACATATGTCTTACTATGCATTTGAATAATTAAGTAAAACACTAGAACTGCTTACACGCCCGGGTGAGAGAGCGAGGCTGACATGCAACTCACACAGGTCGGCAGATTCATCATTATCATCATACTAATCGGTCCCCGAAATCCGACCGTTCACGCGGCTACCATGTACATACTTACTAGGTATGTCCCAATAACCAATGTCGAGACGTGCCACTCGCCTACTCCCGCATACTAATCCCCTTTCAAGGGTAACCCGCCAGGTAGGCGCCGCATCGGCAACGCTTGATCAAACTCAATGCAAGTGTCCATGTTGACACCCTCAACCGTCGGTGGTAATACAAACCATGACTGCATAACTCTCCTTGCCCCATACCACCAAAGAAAGACGTGGGGTTGTCTGTCCCGATTCCCGGGGCTTCCCCCACCAACTCTGGCGTACTTTTCTTTGCAAACTCATCAAGCTAGCGACGGATCAGGAAATGCACTAAGAGAAAAATGCGAATATACGCATGCAGGGCTTAAGAATGCCGGGACATGGGGGCGTGGGCCGGTTAGCCGTTTCTGCAGGCGCGGAAACACGGTTCGTTATCTCTATACCCGTTTAGAATATGTTCTTAGCTCTGAACCGCAACCGACGGCATTAGTACATAGGTGCGATACACGAGAAGAACGAAGACAAGAACAAGATGAGCAGGTATTGCCGAACTTGCCGGTGTGTTTTCAAGGCCCAATGGCGCAAATGCCGAGGCTTATTACCTGCGTGAAATGACCAACAGAATCATCCTTCTCCGCTTCCTGATCAGCCCCATCCCACGGTTGTTAGAAACAAAAATGGGTTACACAGAAGGAATGCGGCTCATGCAGTCTACTGTACCCTTCTCGGCCCGATGGTTCTTCCGCAGCAACGCATCGGCGATCCACTCGGAAAATTCAGTGATGGAGGATTTGTATGTGGCTGCTGACGCCAAATGGGGCAATGGTGTTTGCATTGGAAACTTCAATCGTCGATGTCCTGCAGTTTTCTCGCTTGAGCCTGCTCGCTTTGTCCCCCAAACCTCGTAGACTCCACGCGTCGGCATATGATATGTACGCATCAACTCAGGGTAAGAATGCGGATGGTGCATTGCCGCATGCATGCAAGTGTATACTTACATCTCTCTGTACACATGTCAAGGATCTACATGCTGGACGGACAAGGTCTCGAGGACCCTTCTTTATCGCTCACTGTCCTGGTATCTGGGTACGTAGCCAAGCTACAGTCGAGTAAGATCCGGTAGCATCGCACCCGATCCCAAATTGAGCATGATGACTAGTGGGGTACTCTTTCCGACGTGTAATCAGCCTATTTTCTGAAACTTTTAGGGTCGCGATCATGGAGGTCGATCCACTCTTTGTCAGATACATATCCTTCCGTTCCTGTAGGCGACTACTCCGTAGGAGGCCTAGAATCCGTTTGGATGAATGAAATCGGGCCAGGCTAAGTCACCAAATATAAAACAAACATTTACGCGATGTATTACTGAGGCGCAAATCTAGGCTATTCTCGGAAAGATAAATTCACACGACCATTGCGTGTGGCATATTCAGCGCATGCCAAGAGCGGCGGTACGTCCCGATTGCCGTTGTAGCGAGTCTCTCGTGCATAAATAGATATTCCTTTCGCTTGCGTACAAGGAAAAAACACAAGTCCATTATGCAATGCTGAATCCATGGACTTCCGATAGTGGTTGGTATGCCTCGTCCGGACAAGGTTCTGAACGGCGACTACAATTTCAGCGGGCTGCAGTAACAACGAAGCCACTGGCAAAGCCACTTAGAACGACAGCAGACTCGGATCGATCCCCTAGGTCATCTGCCATCTTGAAGCCCGGTAGTGCGGAAGGTGTTCGAACAGGGCTGTGCAGACTTGCAGTGCGGTTAAACTACTAGATGGCCACGTAGGATAGTAGACTTGTCAGGGCATTGTCAAACCCTCGGCCTTATAAGTAGGGAATTCGGAACGAATTAACGTACAGGGAGAGATCTAAATTTCTGTGAGAGCTTGAGTCAACGTGCCGATGGGGACGATATGCAAGGACGATGGTTTGACTGGCAGAAGGAGGTTTGTATACTTGTGCCAAGCCAACTCCTACGTCATTCCCCTTTCTATCCTCACATGTCAAATGCCAGAGTTTTGGAGTGCAGCAATTATCTGTTTGAAAAGGTCATTATCTTCTTGAAGCTTCGTCATGTAGCTCAACGCCTCCCATCTAGATCCGTTCTGCTCGTTCTGCTAAAGTACACGATGAACGTCAAATAAGAAGTGGAGAGCAGAGATACATCCGACACAGTGATTAATATACAAATGGCCCTCTCCAGGCTCGACGATGGGGTATGCTCGCATCATGCTCCGTCGTTCTGGCGGACCAACCTACTCCAGAACACGCGTCACCAAACCAGTAGCGACTGTCCGGCCACCCTCACGCATGTTGAAGCGCTGGCCAGTCTCCAAGACGTGTGGTGCATGGAGCTCGCAAACCATCTCGACGTTGTCACCAGGCATGACAAGCTTCTCATGGGCATCCTCGGTACCTTCGGGCCAGAACAGCGCACACGACTCATCAGCAGTGCGGATGAACATTTGTGGCCTGTAGTTCTCGCCGAAACCAGTGTGGCGACCACCCTCCTCCTTGCTCAAGACGTACATGGAGACGAGGAACTTCTTGTGAGCCTTGACCTGTCCGGGGACGGAAACGACCATACCACGACGAACTTCGTCACGCTTGACACCACGTAGAAGAAGACCAGAGTTGTCACCAGCGCGAGACTCTTCACAAGACTTCTTGAAGGTCTCAATGTCGGTAACCTTGGTCTTGATGGGCGCGGTACCCTTGCCGACAAGCTCGACTTCAGCATCGCGCTTCAGAATACCTCGCTCAACACGGCCAGAAACGACGGTACCACGACCAGCAATGGAGAAGACGTCCTCGACGGCCATAAGGAAAGGCTTGTCAGTCTCACGCTGAGGAGTAGGAATCCATGAATCGACGGCCTCGAGCAGCTCGTCAATCTTGGTGACACCAATTTCCGGCTGGCGGTTCTCAATGGCACAGAGGGCAGAGCCCATGACAATGGGGGTCTCGTCACCCTCAAAGCCATAGCTGCTAAGCAGTTCGCGCATTTCCATCTCGACAAGCTCCAACATTTCCTTGTCCTCAACAGCGTCGACCTTGTTGACGAAGACAACGATCTTCTGGACACCGACCTGGCGGGCGAGCAGCAAGTGCTCACGGGTCTGGGGCATCTGACCGTCGGAAGCGGCAACAACAATAATGGCACCGTCCATGTTGGCGGCTCCCGTAATCATGTTCTTGATGTAATCAGCGTGACCGGGGCAGTCGACGTGGGCGTAGTGGCGGTTTTCGGTTTGGTACTCAATGTGGGCGGTCGAGATTGTGATACCACGCTTGCGCTCTTCGGGGGCCTTGTCAATGGAGCCATAGTCGAGGTATTTAGCAAAGCCCTTTTCTGCTTGTCGCTTGGTGATGGCGGCTGTGAGAGTGGTCTGCAGCGTGTCAGTCTGGTGACGTCTAGGACATTTGGTGGGATGTGGTGTACCTTTCCGTGATCGACGTGGCCAATCGTACCTGGAAACAGTCAGCAAAGTCACGTCTGACCTGAATGACAAGATACATACCAATGTTAACATGAGGCTTGTCTCGTGTAAAGGCGGCGTAGTTGCGGACGCCGTTCATCCACCTGCTGGTGCCCTGCGCACCCAAGGCATTCTGCACCGGCGAGACGCCACGCTGGTACTGCACGGCAGCACGCGAAGTGCGCAGGAAAACCTTTGAAAAGCTTGACATGATTGACCCGATCACAGGACACGGAAGAAGCGAAGGCAAGGCAATTGGCCAAGATGGCGATGTTGGATGAGGGCGGCGAGACTCAAATCATTTTCTTAGCGCGAGAAGATGCTTACGCTGGCCATCGTCCAATCAGGTGAGGGGGAGATCCGAGCTTGCCCACGCTGCATCGGCGGGGCATACCATTGCGGGCAGCAGAGACATAGCTAATTATCTTCCTTTTTCTCTAGTCAATTTGAGCTTTCTCAACTCACCGGCAAGGTTGACAGGGACAAATCTTATCATCTCGGCGTGTAGGCTAGATCCGCCGGTTGCCCAAGGTGGTACCGGCCTCGACATCTCAATTTGCGGGTACGCAGTACCCGAGGCTCAACTCGGTCGGCAGCGGCTGTGAAAGTTGTTGCATCGTCATATCCCAAACACCACACATGTCTCTCTTCACATTGACAAGAGCGCCGCTGAGCTGCGTCTCACGGACCCGTGCTACCTGCATCATGCCATTGCGTGCAAAAATCACAAATCCCGCCTGGATGAGCGGGTCAAGACTGGTACAATGGCGGCCCTTCTCACCCAGCACCGCGCGTGCCGATGTATAGCATACTGACGGCGCACAGTATGCCACGCCGACGGCAGACCTCCTGAAGGCGGAAAAGGACGACGACCCCGACGATGTCATTTTCACCAACAACTACGGCGTGCGCAGCATCGAACTCAATCGGCCTAAGAAGCTCAACTCGCTCAATGGCTCCATGGTGCGCAAGATCGTTCCGAGGATGCAAGAGTGGGAAAAGTCGGAACTGGCGGGCGTCGTTGTCATCAAAGGCAGCGGCCGCGCATTCTGTGCCGGCGGCGATGTCGCGGCATTGGCAGCGTGGAACCGGGAGGGACCAAAGGGACAACAGAGGAGCGCAGACTACTTCGGCCTGGAATACAAGCTGGATCACCTGATTGCTACCTACACCAAGCCGTATGTCGCCTTCATGGATGGCATCACCATGGGTGGGGGCGTCGGACTGTCGATGCACGCGCCTTTCCGCATTGCGACCGAAAACACCCTCTTCGCCATGCCTGAGACGACCATTGGTTTCTTCCCAGACGTTGGTGCCTCTTTCTTCTTGCCACGCCTAGAAGGTGCGCTCGGAACCTACCTGGCCCTCACATCGGAGCAGCTCAAGGGTGTGGATGCCTTCCACCACGGCGTCGCAACCCACTACATCCACTCCTCCACTCTGCAGCAGTTAGAGGCACGTCTCGCCGAACTCCAGTTCCCCGACTACATGAGGCTCAACGAGCGCTTTAGGATCATCAATGCTACTATTGAAGAATTCAGCACCGGCCTGCCTTCGGACCGACCACATATCTCTGGTGAACTGCGCAGAACAATCGACAGTGTTTTCCACGTTGACCAGCCGGGCATCATGGACATCATGACATCTCTTGAGAAAGTCAAGGAAACGCATGCAAACCCCGAAATTCAGACGTGGGCTGACAAGACCATTCAAACCATCAACAGTCGCTCTCCCATCTCTGTTGCTGTAGCTCTCAGGCAGATGCAAATCGGCCGTCAATGGTCTATCGCGCAAGCATTCCAGAGAGAGTACTCCATCGCTGCCAAATTCATGGCTCACCCCGATTTCGTCGAAGGTGTGACAGCACGCCTTGTTGAGCGTAAGAAGGAGCGACCCAACTGGAAGCCTAACACCCTTGATGAGGTCAATAAGAGGGAGGTCGATGCGTTCTTTGAATTTGGCAGGGAGCCGCCACTTCCGCTCATAAGTCAAGCAGACTACACGGAATATCCACATGCATGGATCGGGCTGCCAAGAGAGGATGAGATTCTCAGGGAAGCAGCAGGCAAAAAGACCGAGGACGTTGTCGCCAATTTGCTAGAAAAGTACGAGGGCAAGCAAGGTGTCAGGGAGAAGATTGCCGAGGTTCTTGACAGATTTCAAAAGTAGAAAGGTATCGACCTTGGCCAAACCCATTGGTCGGTTATTTGAGTTCAAATGCTCGTAGAAGAAACCCACATATCTGCTGAATTTACTCAGCCTTGATTGTTCACGATACTCCTGGTTTCTATTATTTCTTAGAAACTTCTCTTCACCTCTGTATCGTTATTCCTCGGCTCGTTTTTATTTCCTTACTAAACCACCCGTCTACAGATTAGATTGATTGAATCATGGCAAATCCATCCTTCTTCTCGGCCTGCAACATGCTGAAGACGGTATTAGGCTTTCCCCTGGTATCCAGTGAAAAAGGGCGGTATGCCAGTTTGTTCTTCCCACAAATTTTCAAAAGCACATTGCTACCATGAGCTTTATAAGAAGCAATTCAGGATCACCAACGAAGGTGAGCTGTGGGTGTGATGGGCCAATGCCATTTAGGCGAGTATTCCGGTGAACATTATGGGTTGCATGCACCAGAAAAACACTTTTGGGTTCACCTGATTTTTGAACTCATCCGCTGCTGCCTGAATGCCAAGTGCACTGATAAGGCAGACTTGCTTCTTCTTTACATGCGTCGTCGACCGTAGCCTATGAGGCCGCTCTTTAGAAAAGGAGGCAACACGAGGTGCTGCCTGCGGCAAGAACATGTGGCAGTGAGATTTACTAGGATTGTAATATGACAAGATCGATGAGTAGCCGTTTTAAGCGCCAGGAACCGATTCTGGTAAAGGTTGGGGGCTAAACGGCAGTTCTCTCCACCCACGCCATGAGTTCACAGCCCCCAAACATGATGACATCAGCTTTCTATCCGCCTCGTGCACCTAGCTATGGCTGCCTGCCTAGGATGTTAAGCCTGAGTCGGCGTTGAATCTCCGCTCCACTGTCAGCTAAAAAGCGCGGTTCATCGCAAGTCCTCCCAGTGTGATTGGCTGTCTAAGCGTTGAGCTGAGGCTGAGACGGCGGTAAGCCATCCATTGCCCAAATTTGGATGCCGCGGCTTGGCCTAAGTTACGATGGAAGGACTCAATCCATCTCCACACTCAGCTTGTGGCTGTGTGGTTCTATACTTATAAGTTGTCTTTTCCTTGCTGCTTGTTTTGCTGTATTGTCCTAATCTCTTCACACCACACCATTGGGAGGAATTGACGAAAGCCCTTGAGCAAAATCACGACTACATTATATTTGAATACCGATTGGCTAAACAGCGACTGGATCGACCAGTCAGAATGTCGGCTATAGAGCGGCAACCGTTGTTGGCTGAGAAGATTGCCGTGAATCACGAACTGCAGATTAGCGACGATGAACTTGGATACACAAAAAGAGCTGCGAGAAGAAGCCTAGGAGATACCCTCCGCAAATTCGTTGTACTGCCTTTGATCTGTGGGCTTGCCGCATATGGATCATATACTCTTTTCAGGCAGCATCTCCGCCCAAGCGTACCGTTTTCGTCATCACACCAGCATTCCGACTCCTTGAACTACACTTGCCTACCTGGGCAATCTTGTTGGCCAACGACAGACGAATGGAGCGCCTTCAACAAAAGCATCAATGGTCATCTTAGGCTGACTGTGCCCTGGGCCGAGCCATGCTATCTTGACTCGTCCAGTGAAGAATGCAAAACCGTGGCGAAAAACTATGGCAATGGATTGTCACGAACAAGCCAGTACGGTTCAGGGGAGTTCCTCGATTGGGAGAGATGTGGTGAATCGCAATGCGCCCTGAACTCCTTCAACACTTCAGATTCTGTTTCTGGTCCCTGCTCGCTCGGACGATTCTCCTCATACCACGTCGAAGTCAGATCTGGAAGCGATATCAGTAGAACGCTGGATTTCGTTCGCAAACATGGTATTCGAGTTTCGATCAAAAACACTGGACATGACTATTTTGGTCGATCCACTACTCCCAACTCTCTTGCCATCTGGACGCACAACCTGAAAGATACCAAATTCCACAAGACTTTTCAGCCTCAAGGGTGTAATACTCGCTATGAGAACATTGGCGAGATTGGTGCTGGCGTGCAGGCTCAAGAATCATGGGAAGCTTTCGAGCCACATGGTATGCTCGTCACCGTAGGTGCGTCAGCATCTGTTGGCATTGCAGGAGGCTACGGCCAAGCAGGCGGCCACGGACCACTGGGACCCAAGTACGGGCTCATGGTTGACCAAGCTGTCGAGTTCGACGTCATCACTGCTGATGGTAAACAACGCACTATCAACGAATGCAGTGATCCAGACCTCTTCTGGGCCATGCGTGGAGGCGGAGGCGGAACCTATGCAGTACTCACGTCATACAAGTTCCAGCTTCACCCAGCTGTTCCTATCAACGTATACCACTTCCATGCCAACTTCCCAGCACCGAAGAACATCTCCGATTCAAAGATTCACCAAGATGTTCTGACTGGACTTGCCTCAAACCAAGCCCTCTTTGGCAAACATGGTATCGCCGGATACAACTTTGTGCTACCAGACCACGTAATATTCGTGCAAGTCATGCCATCCAACGACACCGAAGCGATCAAGACTATCACTTCCGAGTGGCGCAACCTTCTTAAAAACATCCCTGGTATCGAGATCACCGCCGATGACTACTACTCATTCGAAAAGTTCTCGCAGTGGTACGACTTCACCGAGCGACCCGAGCTCGCGCGCAATGGAGCTGTCGGTCTAGGATTCAAAGGCGTAGGTCGCTTCATTCCACGCACTCTCTTTGAATCCGATCAGAGCATCGAGAAACTAGTAGAAGCAGTCACGACTTCAATGCAGTACTCATACGCTAGACATGGCTCAGGAGGTGTGCAGCTGTACGCTACGGGGCCTGACAACTTCCCGGACAATGGCAAAACGAGTGTTAATCCCATCTGGCGAGATTCTCTCTGGGAAATCGTCATGGGCCAGTTCTGGACCACCGCCACACCGCCAAATACCCTGTCGCCAATCCAGGACATAGTCACTGCCATGGTTGAGCCGCTCAAGGCGTTGACGCCCGGCGGTGGATGCTACCTGAACGAGGGTGATTGGGCTGAGAAGAATTGGCAGGAGACGTTCTTCGGTGTGCAGTATGAGAAGTTACTCGCCGTGAAGAAGCGGTACGATCCAACCGGCTTGTTCAATTGCTGGAAGTGCGTGGGCTGGACGGGATATGATGAGTAAGTCTCGTGACCCCAATGTTACAAACAAAAGCTAACTTGTGATAGCCCGATGTACTCTTGCTACGCGCAGTCCCGACATGCACCACTGCCATCTATACCGCTAGGCCCTCTTAACGAGTAATTACAGGGCTCTGGTTAGCTTTTCTTCTTTACTCCTTCGTTTCACTGTTCCTCAAAAACCGGAATTTACCGTGAATGTACTATAGCATATCTTGGCCGTCTCTTTGCGCCCAATTCCATCATTACTCCTTCTCTGTTGAACATTGTTGTTTTTCACTCGCAGTCGACGCATCTATCTTGCGGGTTTGAATACTCCGAATGCGGAGGCAGCCACATGTAACATAATCCGCTCAGAATTAGCTCAAAGTTCAAGATCAAGGTCCAGCGTTCACGGTGAGAGCTTCACACCTCCTTTGAAGTACAGTAAAAGTTCCATGACGTCCCCCACCATTTGATTTATCTAATCCCCCTTCACTTGCTGGCCTCCCATTGGCCGGACACCGCGACGTTTGCAAACGGGCCAGCTGCGCGATACCGCTCCAGGATAGTATATAACTGACGCTCACCTTCGCTTTTTTTTATATACAAATACAGATCAACTACTGAGGACACAACATCTCCTCCAACCACTGAAACTTGAGACCAACTACTCGACTCGACTCAAGCTCGCAACAACAACAAAAACACTCAACAAGCACATTCAAAGGCAGGTAACCATGTACTTCCCCGTCCTTGCTGTTCTTGCGATACTCCCCTTCTCACCACTGCTCTCGGACATGACCACCACCGTGTTCAGGGCCGCGATATCAAGACCGAAGTCGTACTCGTCACCCAGACGGTCTACACCACCATGATAATCGCTCCAACCCCCACCATCGTTGCCTCACAAGCGCCCACCCTGAGCATCCTCACCATCGGGAATCCAACCACGATTGTGCCCGCTCCTTCACCTCCAGCCGCTGCACCAGCAAAGCCGTCTCCACCGCCCCCAAACCCCTATACCCCGCTGGTTCCCGCCCCCAACAATGCCGGCATCATCAACTCGTGTGATTATGACGTCTGGGTCTCTTCCATCGGCGGCCACGAGAGCTGCGGACCCGGCAACACCAACTACCTCGTCCGCGCAAAGACTACATATACCGAGGCCATCCGCGTATGCACTAACGCCGGAGTCTCACTCAAGGTAGCAAAGACGGTAGCTGGTCTCGCAAAACCGATGCAATTCGAGTATACCGTCGGGGCAGACAAGAAATCCGTGTCATACGATATTTCCTATCTGGACTGCATGGTCAAGAACGGCACGGAGTTCAAAGACTTTGCGGGGTGTGTGGGACAGGAGAAGGGTATTCAGGCTGCCGGCGGAATAAAATGCAAAGGGTTCCATTGTGTGCCTGGGGTTGAGTGTGCGCAGTTGGCGTATACGGAGCCGGGGTTTGGGGGGAAGAATAATGCGCCTGTTGGCACTTGTGGAGTTGAGGGGGGCGTGGTATTTGAGATTTGTGCCGAGAATAGGAAATGAGTGGGAGAAGCGAAGGAAGAGAAAGGTAAGATGAAGTCCGACTTGGTACTTAATTGTGTTTTGATGGCTTCTGGGTATAGAAAGGGATGCTGATATTTTCTTGCTTATAGGTGGAGAGTAGAGAGGGTGGAGGAACGATATAATCGTCGATGTCCTCTCTTTCTGGGTGCCGGCTATTCTGTTTCGGAGGCGGATATCATCGACATACCGGCGAGCAATGCGAGGATGCTGATGTATCATGATGTATAACAGATGCTTCTCTGGTGGCAACCAGAACAAGTTTAAGATTTGGATTTCCGGGGATTGTAATATGAGTATATAACTAAAAGTGCAATTATGTAGGGAAAGGTTGAGAAAGTAGAATGTTGTGAAGTCTTCCTTCTCGTGCTGTACAAGAGGGATATAAGTATGTGGTTGGCGAGTTTGTTCATAACGAACAATTAGACAGACGTCAGCTTATTAGCGAGGGAAACGGTAGTTTTGGGCTTTTTCTAATCGCTTGAATAACAGCAAATAGCAACCATATGAAAACAGTAATCATAGTGTCTGCAGTAGTCCCATATGGATGTGGAGAGATGCGGGCAAACACGTGACCAGCGGTCGATCTGTAGCTTTGGCATCAATTTTTCACTTTCCAACCTAACATGTCAATTCTGTAATCTAGTATCAGGACTTGTCGTTGCCATACCAACTGTGGAGCATCCTTTTCGCTCGTGTGGCCAAGAAGTGTGGTTGTCATGACTGCCGGTTCCTAGTTACTAGCGTGCTAATTCAACGAATCCGAGCGTATCCGTGTCCTCATTCGTACCAACACACTTTGACCAGACTCTACCGTATTGGCTAGTCCGCATTTCTTTGGCAAACTGTCCATCCTGTGGGTGTTTGGAGGAAACAAAGTCTGGACTGTATACGACGCAAGGATATCTGTTATCAATAGGACAAGTACCGAGCTAAACGCGTACTACCGCTTCCGTCGTCCACGCCCGCGTTTGGGGCGAGGAAGCCGAACGCGCCATTTGCACCAGCCTTTTGCAGCATGCGATGCACCCCGCATGTTAGCCAACATGTCTGTGCCAGAGTCTGACATAATAAAGCCGCTGGACGCCTCAAACACCAATTCAGATGACTGGGAGATTTTCGTTCTCAAGGATGCGCACGTCACATATGAGAGCAATGGAAAGCCTGCCAGCCTGCTCGCCGCGTATGCGGATACCCCGCTCAAGGTCGAGGGGCACCTAAAGATGCCTGGGCGCAGCCAACTAAAGTATCGTACGTAGATCTGGATGCCGTAAAAAGCGCATCAGTGGAATAGCATAGTCAATTGACACTGCCGCAGTCCTCAAGAAGCCTTATAACCCCACGGACATCGAGATACGGAACGTGACACGCTTCTCGTACGGCGAAATGACAGATGGCGCATACGTGATATGGGCCCAGGGAAAAGCTGGCTGGTTCGAAATCCAGCCCGCGCCCCAGTATAAGCCCATCTATGACGAGATGGTTCAGGCTGTCGAGCTGCTGTACTTTGTGATAGATATCCACAGTGAAGTGCGGAAGAAGAGTGGAGGACCCAGTGCTGAGCTCATTTTCCAGGAAGTAAGTGCAACACGGATATCCGCAGCTAGTTCCAAAAGCCTGCGCCGATTGAGCAGCATTATGAGATATACAGGCTAACTCATGTAGTACGCAGAAGACAAACGCTTCTCTTGTAACGACATAGCCATGGCAGAGGAAATCTTCGACAAGCATCACATGTTCCTGATGATGTGCTTCTTAAATAGGGCACAGGGCTTAAGCTGGAGTAACACTCCTATATACCAGCGCTTTAGAAGAAGATTTCCAGTAAGTCACATTCCGGCCAACCCTGGACTCAATCTGATCTGCGAATAGAAAGACTTTGACGACTGCAAAGCACGCATAGAGGGGCGCTATTCCCAAATCCAATCCGAACACTCACCGACAAGGTCGAAATCAAGGTCTACGCCATCTCTCAGTTCAAAGCAAGCAGCTATACCTGGAACGTTACGGCATACTCGGAGTAAGTCGGCGGGGTCAAAAACGCCAGACGCGCCGAAAAAGGACGATAATTGGTGGGAAGCTGCGGCACTTTTTGAGTTTATGCAGAAAGCAGTAAACCAACGAGTTGTGCGCCCAGGAAGAAATCAAATAACTTTGGATCGGGTTGCAGAGTTGGTTGTTAGGCGTTATGAGATTGACGAAGTGGAGACCGCAAAAACGGTCCTACTGGTGCATGCGCAGAACCTCTGCTATATGATGGATCGTCCACGAAGAAAAGCTGTACAATTCTTCGCAGATGAGCCAATATACCAGGAACTAGCAGCTAGACATAACTTATCTGCAGCTGAACAGAGACGAGCAGAAGACGTCGAGCTCAAACCACGGAAAGATCACGCAAGGCTAAGAGATGAACAGAGCGATTCGTCAGATACATCCGACGAAGAAGACGAAAATGATGAACTACGAACGCCCGCTCGACGACCACTAGGCAGACGGAAGAAAGGCCGACTGTCAGTCCTGCGACCAAAAACTGGTAACTTCTCCGGCAAGAGTAAACGTGTGATCATCAAACCAGGTAAACAAATAGCCGGCAAGGGCAAAGCACCCGTAGCAGCCAGTGACGCCTCATCGGAATCACAAAGCGAGGATGATGCAAATAGCAGTTCAGACCTGGACATTGACAACACGCCCACACAAGCCCTATCACCAAGTCGCGAGAAGAGGAAACTAGACGGTACAGACACCGAGTACGAAGCAAAAGATGCTCGGAGAAAACGACGAAACAGCACCTCTTCCTCTCCGCCTACAACAAACGATTCCGATTCCAGTGAAGCAGACGCCAGCGCTTCTCTACCCCTTCCCCTCCGACACCTCCCCGCATCAGCATCAAGCAACAGCAAACCCACCGTCTCCCCTCAAATCGTATCCACCCCACTCCCCACCTACGAAGCTAACGGACCCCGCGACTCCTGGCTCTGCAGCTTCGACGGCTGCACCCAGCGCATATACGGCTGCAGCAAGGAACTCGGTCGCCAACTCATCACCGAGCACCTGGAAGACCACAGCCGCGGGCGTGACAAGGTAGTAGGGATTCTGTGGCGAGAACAGAATAAGTTACATTTACCCGTTAAGTAAGTTTACCCCCAAATATGCAAGGAGAGTGTGAAGTGGAGTTTTGTTTTTGTGGGATGAGAAACTAATGAATGGGACTACAGTAATTTGATTAAGAAGATTAGGGAGATGAGTGAGGCTAGTACACCGTTGTTTCCGGCTCAGGAAGGAGGTGTGAGGGAAGAGAAGGTTAGGCCCATTGAACGACCGGTTTGAAGAGAGATGTGTGAGATTAGTATACGTTGAAGATATGGGGGTCTTTGGATACGCCTCGTTCTTCTCTAAATTTTATGATTAAGCATTTTTGTCATTCTTGCCTCTCCTTTTTTTTGCTTCGGGATTTCTCGTTTTCTTTCTCTTGAAAATCCCTTTTCCTCTTCGTCACTAAGTCCTTTTCGATATTTTCTATGCTTGGTCGCACGTCTTCTAGCCCTGGTTCACACGCCCCTAGTATCGCACTTGCGTCTTCGTATACGGCTCCGGTGGCCGGATCAACACACCATTTTGGATGCGGAAAGGGGAGGGCGTGGAGTGGAGTTCTGAGAGCACTTTCTTCGTATCGAGTGTCAAGCGCGAGGAGAGGACCACATGATGCAGGGCGGGTTTGCGTATGGTAATATTGGTGTTGTGAGGGTACTGAGAGTACGGGCGATGCGGCCGAGGCCGAAGAAGCGCTGGGTTCTGCGGAGGTCATGAGAAATGCGCCCGTATGTGTTGTCCGTCTTGGTGGTTGTGGAACTCAGTCTGTTAAATACCGAAACAGAATATGCTATGGAGATGAAAGATGAGAGTGTATAGTTCAAGGAGATAGATGTCACACGCAAGCACGATACTATGTAGCGAACAGAAGATCAATAAACACGCGGACTCAGGAGCTGTCTTTAGCTAAATGTCCAAATGTGAATTGTGGCGTTTTCTTTGTTTGTCCGGAATTAGGTTTGGAAGGGATATAAGGGCGTCACTAGTTAGGACTGCTTCCAACGCACACATCAATATCTGAAAACCAGTAAGATGATGAAGTTTCTTATTCGTAAATACCAAATTACTTTTATACGCTAATTGTCTTGAAAACATTGAATCCTGATCCGCCGGTAGCCATGATGGCGCCCGGAATCTGCGGGTGCCAGTGTGCCTCCTTGATTTGCTCCATGTAGTGCACAAATAGCAGTTGTGGTGGTACGTCTTGTACTCCTGCTGTGTATTTGCTCTCCTCATCGTCAAGTTCGACGGCGAGATCCCACAATGTGAGCGTGTTGTCACCGGCGCAAACAAGGACGATACTGTCGTCTGTAGGGTGCCACTCGACAGAGGTGATCTGTTCTTTGTGGAATGTGTAAGATGCGACAGGCGAAGGCTTCTTGTCGCTGGACATGTCGGTAGATGGCTTCCATTGTCGCAAGTCCCAGACTGCCCACTCACCATCATCTGCACCAGAAGCGAGAAGATGAGCGGTCTGATGCGACCAGCTGAGTACGTTGACATCAGTCTTGGAGGCCTGGACACTGAGTACTGGTTTCCGTGATTTTGATCGAGCATCCCAGATCTTGACTGTGCCGTCGCTTGACGCTGAAGAAAACACAGTCTTCTCAGTTGGAGACCATTGAAGCTCCTCGACTGAGCCCCGATGGCCAGTAAAAGGTGTGGTGTCAGTCACAAAGCCTCCACCTTGCGTCCTGGTCGTGGCAAATATCTTTCCAGCGCAGTCACCGGTGAGAAGCTTGCCTTCTGGTACCATGGGAGACCAGTCTAGCGCATAACCCTCGTTTGATCCGTGAGCTCGAATGGTGCAGACTGGTTTATTTTGTGCGGGAGAGATGGTGGTGCCGGGTGTATCAAAAGAGGTGAGATGTGGGGTGACGTCGTGGATAAGAACCTGGCCTGACTCTGTCATGGCGGCTGTGAGAGTCGTTGGGGGTTGCGCGGATGTTGCTTGTGGTGTTTGGTGTGCTCGTATACGGTTCGTGCAGCTCGTCAATGGTATCGACTTGGTCTCCAATATGGGATCGGATGCCTCGTCTTCCGAATCCGAGTCCTCGTCTTCCTCGTCTTCCTTCTCCATGCGCGACAAACTGCTCATTTTCATGACCATGATCTGGTTCTCCTTGTCCCTTCCCCGTGCTGCTTGTGTGCCGGCGACTGCGTACACGGTTGCGGGGTATGTTTTGCGATCTGAGCCTAGGTTGTCGGGTACAATGTCGCAGGACAGACAGGGCCATGGCGCTTCTAGGGTATGCAGCATATCGTATGTCGAAAGATCGGGGTTCAGCGTCTCGCCGGGGGAGAGTTTGTGACGTCCAGGAATAAATGTGCCTAGAGAAATAGTTAGCAGCATATTCAAGTATGGCATATGGAACTCTTTGACCTTTGTCGATATCCATGCCATTTTCGCGCTCTTCGGCCTCGCGCTCCTCATCTGGCCGTCCGTCTACTCCTGCCTCGAGAATCTCATCCTCGCTCTCGAATTCGTCCTCAAACTCATCCTCGAATTCGCCTGCCTCGTTCTGGGCGTCGACTTCCATGGGCCGCTCGCCATTCTTGATAGCCTCCAGCTCTTGCTCTGATTCTGCCGCTCGCTTTGCCATGTTTTACGTCTGAATATATTCTTGCGTGTGGTTGTGCTGGGGCGAGTCGCAAAAAAAGTCGCACAAGTGTGAATTGGAAAACGAACTTTTTGAATAGTACGCGATAAGCGGCTTATCGAGCACCAGCCACAGCAGCCCCTCGCAGTGGCTTGTGGCTTGGCGAACCAGGACACGGCGAGCCATCAGCGCTACCCCATGATACCCAATTGCATCGCGGCTAGCACTCAGTCAACAAGTCGACTTCAGCTCACAACACACACGCCCCTTTTGTCCCCGAATGCCATCGCACGCGTGAAAGTGGCCCTGGAAACTCCTCGAACGTCGCGTCTGCCGGGTCTTCCTTGTCTATCGCTCTCGACGCGTGCGCGCCCTCAGCTCTCGTTGCTGCCGAATATATACCGCTAGAAGTCGCTGCCGCTGCCATGGAAGAGTACTCGAGTCAGGCGCCTGTGCCAGAAACACTCCCCCAACCTGTCCAGGTGCCGCCGGAGCAACTGGGGTCTGACCAGCTGCAGCCCGAGCCCGTACCTGTTGATGAACACGAGGCGCAAAAACATATGGACCAGACCATGGACACGAACGATGACAGCATGGCCAGCACCATTACCGCCAACACCGTCACACCGCTACCAGATCCAGCCCAATCTAACAGCCTCAACAACAGCCCTTCCCCATACGGACACGAGCCTCACCGACCATCGACGTCATACTCGGACACCGCCTACCAGTACACAACACACAATGGCTCGCGCTTCACTACATCCTCAGATGCCGATACTCCTCCGCGGCACGGCTACTACGACTCCAGCAGAGAGGCACACGTCGGCCAATCGCACTCGCGGCCTAGCTCACAGATGGGACGGTACCCGACCTCAGAGGGCGGCGCCCGGTCAAACTCATACCAAGACCAACAACGGAGCGCACAACAACAACAGGAAGCAGTCAAAAATGCCAGCGTAGTCATCAAGGTCGGCATGGTCGGAGACGCGCAAATCGGAAAGACCAGTCTGATGGTCAAGTATGTCGAGGGTAGTTGGGACGAAGATTACATCCAAACATTAGGTGCGTTACACCATGCTTTTTTCTAGAGGTTGCAGTTTCTGACACGCGCAGGTGTCAACTTTATGGAAAAGACCATCTCGATCCGGAACACCGAAATCACATTCTCTATTTGGGATCTAGGTGGTCAACGTGAATTCGTCAACATGTTGCCATTAGTCTGCAACGATGCTGTCGCGATACTCTTCATGTTCGATCTGACGCGTAAGAGCACTCTCAACTCGATCAAGGAGTGGTATCGGCAAGGGCGTGGCTTCAACAAGACTGCTATCCCCTTTTTAGTCGGCACAAAATACGATCATTTCGTCAACTTTCCTCGAGAAGAACAGGAAGAAATTTCTAACCAGGTACACACGATGTTTGGATCTTGGATGTCAGCCTAGTTTGCTAACCAGGTATAGGCCAAACGATTTGCACGAGCAATGAAGGCTAGTTTAATCTTTAGCTCAACAAGTCACAGCATCAACGTGCAAAAAGTACGAAATCTCCCTGTTCAGTCGAATATATGCTGACCTTGTCCCAGATATTCAAGATCGTGCTATCAAAAGCGTTCGACCTCAAGTGCACGATTCCTGAGATAGAAAACATTGGCGAACCACTTCTCCTCTACCAGGCCGTCTAGTCGCCGGACCGACGAGTGAGACCCCGGACAGAAGGGGCGCGGATGAACCTGTCTGAGAGGCAGATGGGGCGCGTCTTTTATCGGAACGTTACCATGAGCGAATGACTTCATGATTGATTTGCGTGGGATTGCATAGCCCGGCGATTGGAGCACGGAGCTATACATATATGTCGGGCACAAAATTGGCGTTCTTCTGCTTTGTATTCGCAGAGGCGCTTGTAAAGTTGGAGCCATGAGAGCTCAACTGGGACAATGGAATGAGAGCGTTGACTTGCACAGGCGGCGCAGTCTTGCAACATAGTATACTATAGTCTAATGAAGAGTCGCGGGATCGCAGTACATATTTGCATGTATGTTTACACAGTACGTGACTTTGCAACGCGTACGAGGGGCAAGTTTAGGCGAATGACGTAAGCTTCCGCGACTAAAAGTTCGAGACATGCGCAAGTAACTTTGGTCAACACTTACAACCATCTGTGCGCGCACTTGCTAGAATAAGAACGAGTTCGCATCGAATACCGCGCGTGTTCGAACATGCTATAGAATCTCAAAAGCGGCTTACCAAATTCCGACTAGTGGTTCCGAAAAAAAGCACTTCATCGGGTTCTTCGCATAGCAGACGTTTTAATACGCGACCGCATCAAACAGCACTCTTTCTTGTACTCCACACACGCACAATGGCACTACCATCCATAGCCCTGCCGGGCCAGCTTCTCGGCAGCATTGACAAGTACTCTCCAGGCCCTGGAACGCACATTTATGAATCGCAAATCTATGCCTCAATAGCAGGGCCAGTGGTGTCTGTAGGCTCAGCACCACAACCGACACCAGGGAGCAACAAAGCCAAGCTACCACCTCTCGTCGCGATAACCCGGCCGCCCAGCTTCAGCGACCCAGGCATCCTAGGCCCCAACTCCGGGGGCGGTGTGCCCCTGCTGCCAACGGTGTCCAGCACGGTGCTAGTCCGCATAACGCGTTTGGGCCCACGCTTCGCCTCGTGCGAGATCCTCGTCGTCGACGACGCTGTATGCCGGGAAGCCTTCCTCGCACAGATCCGGCGCGAAGATATTCGCGCAACGGAAAAGGACAAGATCAAGATTGAAGAAAGCTTCCGCGTTGGCGACTTGGTGCGCGGCACCGTGATTAGTCTGGGTGACAGCGGAAACTACTACGTTGCGACTGACAGAAATGAGTACGGCGTTGTACTTGCGAGGAGCGAGGAAGGGCGGGTCATGCACCCTGTTAGCTGGAGGGAATTCAGGGACCCAGTCAGTGGAAGGACGGAGTTGAGGAAGGCGGCGAAGCCGTTTTGAAAGAGTCTTGAGATATGTCTGTATAACGTATACCCCCTCTCCTTCCTTCTCCCGAGAAGATCACCATCCCAGAAAAAAATCTCAGCATACTATCTATTCTCAAGTTACGAGATGGGTCTGCAATTAACTGCCTCGTATCTTTTTTTACCCGCCCACCACGTCCATCCCACGTTTGCCTATACCAAGAAAAAAATTCTTCTAGTAATGCAAATCAGGGTCCTCCCGTTTTGAGCGGGAATGATTTGCATTTTCCCTCGCCCATCTCCGCCGTCTAAGAAAAGCAACACACTACTACTTACTACCCGCAACACGCACATCACGCAACCTCCCCCCGAACTAAACTACTGTTTCACCCACGCAAGCATTCCCCTTCCTTCCCCTCAACCCCCCCACACACGCTCCTAGTTCACAATCCTGATCTTCCTTCTTTCATGCTTTTTTTCCCGCACTTCTCGAGTCACACAGCCACACACACACACACACACAGAAGGCGCCCGCCCAGCCACACTGATGTCCCGAAGCTACTAAAAAAAAACGTCACGGGGAATACCCCAGGCAAAAAAAAGGCTAGGGAACGACAAGCGCAAGAGGGAGGTGTCGTTCTATTGCGCGTTAAACTTTATTTCTTATTTTATATTTTTTTAAGATGAGGGTTGTTAAAGGCATTGTTGTTCTTTCGGAGTGGATTTGGGGTAAGGGGGGTGGAAGGGAGGTATGGGAGGAGAGGAGGAGGAGCTAAGAATAGAGGGCGGAGGGAATTGAGCATTTTAGGGTTGTAGGGAGGGGAGTCAAGGGTGAAGGAGAGATGGAGGGAATGCGAGGGTGATATTGCTATGTATCTTTTCGAGATGAGTTGAAAAATGTGGGGTAATGTTGATAGATACAGGACTATGGTGAAGAAAAGAGGGTAGTAGACAAGATCAATAGTAGTACAAAGATTGGGAAATGAATGCAGTACATCTAGTATTCAGCAGCGGAACAGAATGCTTTTTCATTTCTCACTTTTAGAGTAGATACATCGGTACAAATCAACCACGTCAAGTGCAATATACTGATAAACAGCTTCAGAAAGATAAGTAGATGTAAATAAATAAAATATATAAGAAAAAAAAACTTTGCGTGGCCTCTTTTGATGGGACCGAGGTCGCTGCTCCAAGAAGGAAAAAGGCTTCCTTCATGTGGAAAGCAGCAAGAACAAGATAGATCATCTCCAAAATCCGAACCTGATAACCTCTTCTCTTTCTCTCTTTCTCTCTTCCCCTTTCCCTATACTCTAATAAATGTGATAGCCCAACTCTTCGACATACACACCGTCCATCTTCTTCTTTTTTTCTCTCTAGACGGTGCAGTCAAGTTACAAAAATAAACAAAGGCGGACCTTGGGCAGATCAAACGCCGTTTATGTGCCAGGAAAACTTCCTTGTCGATGCGCCAAAACTCCAATCATCATGATGGGATACACCAAAAAGCTCCGTCGTCTTGCCCATGACTCCTTGAGCCATCTTTCCCTATGGCGAGCCATGGGCACCACACTGTCGACGATAACTGCCTGTAACCATGCTCTTCCAATGCTCTTCTTGAATCTTACAATACTTGCTTGCTCGCAAGAGAAAAAATACAACAAGTCTTAACCCGGTCTTGGGGATGCGGGTTCTCTACAGCACGCCGCCAGGCAGAGGAGTGCCTCTGTTCTGGTTGCCCCATCCAAAGCTCTCTGTCTGGGGGTTTACAGGCCGTACGTCGTTGCCGCCCACGGTACTAACGTGACCTTCTTGTGGTGCGGCATGCTTCCTAAGCATGAACATGGGTTTGCGGCCTTCTTTGTCGAGTTGTTTGAACAAGATCAACGGCCTCTCGTTCAGTCCCAAACAACGCTCTTGATCGCCGTGAACAATATACAAAGCATATTGTCGCCAATCTGCTGTAATGTTGTATTTCTTGAGCGCAACGGGAAGGACCTTGTGACAAGGGTCATCGATGGAAACGCGGAACGACTTGAATATTTCGACTTGCGGGTTCGTGGAGGGTGTGGAAGAGGAAGTGCCCGATGTGGGGGCGTTCATTGAGCTGGAGCCACCAGAAAGTGGAGGATCGCGTTCTTCGGGGTTCGGTGTTGGCGCAGCATTGTTTCGCATAGGTCGTGAGGATAGTGGTGCGGGAGTGGCGCGGGGATCGCGGTTCCGGTCGGATATGGAGTTGGCGTCGGAGTTCCATGTGTTGGTTTGGCTCCAGCCAGAGTTTGTGTCATGATCGTGGCTGCGGGGTATGTCGCGGCTGTATTGGCGACTTGAGGATTGTGTGTATGCGGGCGATGTAGGCGAGGGTTGGGCAATGGAGTTGGGCGACATTTGTGGGCCGCCACTGCCGAGAGATGCTGTGAGGTGTGAGGAAGCTGCGACGGCTGCTGCTGAGGGATCCAACGAAGAATGATCGACAAGGGCACGATGCTCTTGGATGGTTGGAGAGGGGTTTTTTGGCGCGGACCCAAGGAAAAGCTTCTTGGTGGAGAACTTACGCGACAGACTGCTTCCAGCAGATCTCTCTTGAGTTGCTGGTGGGGAGGTGAGAGTGTGCTCATGGGGAGTCGGAAGTGGCTGGTTGTCTTTCAACATGCGAATCAGTGGTAATATCTCCTCGCGCAGGCGCTTATTCTCGTCCATGACGCGGCTGAGGTCTTCTCGGAGGTGGCGCAGTTCCGATTCGGCTGTATGGATGCGTTCGTCACGCGCTTGGACTACTCGAATGACTCTGGCAAAGTCGTCTTGTGTAGGCGGGGCTTCCTGTGCCGATGTGTCGGCAGCTATGCATTGTTAGGGCCTGGAGGATGTGAAGAAAAGCAGATGGCAAAAAAAGGAAAAGAAGAAAAAGAACACGCACACAATGGAACGTAGTCATCAGGGTCCATGGGCACATTCTGCCGTATCTTGATGTCATAGACGGCCTTGAGGATGGTGAGACGGTGGCCCACACTGCCCACGCCCAGTTCTTTCAGCTCCGCATGCTGTAGTGCGGCCAGTACGTCTCCGGTAATGCCCTCATCTGTAGGAGAGGAGATTAGTAAAAACACACATAGACAAGGGCAGAGCCAAGGTGGGCGGAGCAAGGCCACGTACTAGCAAAGGTGTCCGAGTATTGCTCGAGGCCGAGGTCGGCTATGAAGTCGGCCGTCTGGTCTTCATTCCACTCCATGATGTGCCCCGTTGGGCTGCTCTTGCTGTCGCGAGAATGGGTAAAGGTGGTGGGCGTGTGTTCGGTGCTGAGCGGGCCGGAGCTGGTGGGTGAGCTTTCGTACTCGACGGGCAGGGTCGGGCTGGAGATGGCCTGGCGCTCAAACTCGTCGTCGGCATCCGAATCTTCGTGGTACTTTGTGGTGTATGCCATGACGCGAGGGGGCTGAAGGAGGAGAGGCAGCAGGAGGAGAGGCCGAGGGTTGGCACAGAGGTATTAGTAGAGATGTGGGTAGAGAGAGATATCGAATCTCGGCCGGTGATGATGCCAAGGCCTCTCTCTTGCAAGCAGGCAGGCTCGTGGAGGGACAAGGTCTGTGTTATCGATGACGGTTCGGCGCTAGACTCGAGGCTGGCCCCAGGGCGATTGGGGCACCCTGTCTGAGACGAAGCGAGATTGAGACGGCGTGTTTCGTCGATGACGGGAGCAGGGCGGGAGTGCAGGCTCAGTCTCAGATGCACAGCTAGCCGGTGGGGCAGAGGTGAGCAGCAAGGCGGGGAGAGGGAGAGGGTTGTCGTCGCCGGGCGAGTGGCTTGCGGCTAGGCGCTTTGTCGTCCGACGGCCTGAGGGGGAGAGGGCGTGTCGTCAAAGCAAGCAGCAGCAGCGGCGGCGGCGGCGGGCTGTGCATTCGACCGTGCGAGCAAGATGAGGAGCAGATGCAACAACATGCACATGCGCCTGGGAGGGACAGGACAGCACGCAGGCCGGCGGGGAGGATGGGACAAGGAGAGAGAGAATGGGAGAGAGAGGGGAGAGAAGAGACCGCTGGCTGGCAAGAAAAGAAAGAAAGAAAGAAGTCACTCCAGCGCCAACAGGGCGGGCAGGCTGCGTCTGCTTCTGCATCTGGATTGCCAATACCCTATACCGTCCGACAGGCGGCTAGCTGGGCAGCCGGCGGCGTCCGTGCTGGCTCGACGCTGCTGCTGCTTGGAAGCCAATATTGCGATAAAGCATGCAGGTACCGACCGCGCCCGCTAATATCCCCTACAACCACATGTACCTCGATGTCAGGACGGACTCCAAGTACACACAGTACATAGTACATTACATGCAACACCCACGTCCACGCATCAACCATCAACCATCAACCCACACGTAACATTCCCCCGCACACCCCATTGCCCTTGGCCTCTCCTTGCTTTTTGGCACTGCACCCTGCCTGCCTGCCTCTCCTCCATTCATAACACCGCCCCAGTCTAGCAGCGCTATTAAATCACTATCCCATTCTCGCCCTCTCCCTTCCTATCACCTCCCTAGCCACACTCTCCACTCATCCCATGCGAACTCGGGATCTTCACCGCCAACGCTTAAGTAAACTAAACCCCTCCTCCACCCCGGCTGGCCCGTCGCCAAATCGGTTACTTCCGCCCGCCGCACCTCACGTCGCACCTGACAAGGAAAGCTGCCATCCCTATATTACGACATACTACATCGCCGGCCCCCCTCCCCCCCCAGTAGCGAGAAAGCACAACCCCACGCGCGCCCCCAACCCACGTGAACAGGATCAGCAACTACCGCGACTTTGGGAAGCTGACCCGGTATTGCTCTCTTCCAACGTCGTCCCTGGAGCCTCCTCTTTGTTTTTATCGAAATCACCCTCCAATCCTTCCCTTTCCGAGTCTTAATTCGCAATCAATTAACTCCTCTCACTCCCCTTTCCCTATCTCCACTCGGCTTTTGTTTTTTCTTGGTTACTAACCCCCGTCTCCCACCCAATAAAATCGCCTGATTCCGCGAGGGAGGGAAAGAAAAGGGCCAATACTCATACTATACCCAATCAAACCTTCCAACCAACCACCCCCGGCCAAACCTCCATTACCCAAAAAACCAACAACTCCTTTCTTTTCAGACCTATCCAAGAAACCCACCCAATTACCGGAAGCCCGGCCACCTACCCGCTCGCTCCCTGGATTCTCCACATAAAAAAAACATCCGATAACATAACGCATCATCACGCATCAAATCATCATGTCCGACACCCCCATCCCCATCACGACGCAGCAAGCCCAGTCGGGCATCTCGCGCGACCTGCGCAACAACATCTACTCGGCCCTGCTCGCCGGGCCCGGCATCCGCAACATCGAGGCCACGCTCGACGAGTCGCTGCGCTCGTCAGGCTTCAAGGACGCTCTCCGAGCCTACATTACCGAGCTCTTCCGCTCGGGCCAGGCCACCACGTGCGAGGAGGCCAGGAACCTCGCTATGCAGCGTATCCGCGAGCACACGCGTCAGTTGGACGGTGCCAGCGGCAACAACAACAACAACAACAACAACAACAGCAGTAGCAAGCAACAATCCGCCACAAACGGTCTCAGCGACGACCAACTCAACGGCGCTGACGGCCCCGCCGACGACGCCCTGGACTTTGATCTCAAAATCCCCAAATCAGCAATCGATGCCGGCGCCAAGACGGTCATGAAAGAGTTGGAAAAGGTATGCGAGATTACATATGAGGATGATAAGTGATGCCTCTTCTCCTTCTTTCATTCCAATCCATATGCACCTCATCCGCCTGCTTCCATCTCATCTGTCTATCAAAAAAAAACTATGGATCTTCACATTCCAAGAGGCCACATTGTCTGTTCAAGGAAAAAAAACTACTATAGGGCCAATGCCACCGTTGCAAAAAAAAACGCTGTTCAGGGCCTACCTTCCTCACGGACCCTTGTGCTTGCACCTTGCCACCGTTGCAAACCCTCGGGATCCACTATTCGCCAGCATATCCATGCACAAACACATACGTACATACTTAAGTACATATTCTCTGCACCTCCTCTACTACATCGTTATCATCACATCGCAACGGCAGAGAATGCAGACTTGTACCATACAGACAAGATTCCGTATAGTAGCTACAACCTTTTGTTCAACAAATAATCTATGTAGCCCTATCTACCACCATAGTGCCAGGGGAAATACCCTCGTCACACTAGACATCAATCAATCAATCACATCAAATCAAATCACATCACACTACAATCACAGTACTATACAAATCTTCTTCTTTTTCTTCATAACATGCATTCTCATTCATTCACTGCATCATGGCAACTACTGCTGCTGCTACCAATATCTCATCATGTCTCCCCAATTATCCCCCCGTGTCTGCACTCATCCAGAACCCTCCAAAGGCCCGGTTCATGCATTGCCTTGCCATGAAGAAAAAAACGCTAAACCCGTCTCTCATAAAGGCTATATCATCCCAGTCCCGTTCTTCTGTCCTTCCCTGCTACAACCTTTCCTTAGTTGTACAGGTCCTCGTCCTCGCCACCAGCTCCAAATGTGTTCTGGTCGCCACCAGCCGCGGCGTTCTCCGCGTCAGGGAAGCGGAAGAAGCTGGAGCCGCCAGAGTTCTTCATTGATTGCGCAAAGGCCTCATATCGGCGGATCTCGACATCGGTCACCGAACGACGGGCAGAACGCATAGCCTCCTCAAAGTGCGCCTTGGTCAGCACAGGTACGGGATCCTCCTCGTCAACTTCCATGTCGACATCCTCGCCAGCAGCCTCGCGAGCCTTGCGACGCTCAATGTCAATCGCAATCGACTGCTTGATCGCCAGCTTGACGGCTCGCTGGGTGACGAAACCAAGATCGGCACCAGAGAATCCGTGTGTGTTTTGCGCAATGAAGTCGATGTCAACATCATCAGCCACAGGTGTCTTGCGGAGCTGAGCCTTGATAATGCTGACACGTGACGCCAGATCAGGCAGAGGAACGTAGACAAGCGTGTCAAGACGACCAGGACGGCACAGCGCGTTATCGAGCTGCTCCGGTCGGTTCGTAGCGCCAATGACGAACACGTTCTTCTTTGATGTCATACCGTCCATCTCAGTCAGAAGCTGGTTGACAACACGGTCCGAAGCACCGCCAGCATCGCCTTGAGATCCACCACGCGACTTGGCAATAGAGTCCAACTCATCAAGGAAGACAACGCAAGGTGCAGCAGCACGAGCCTTGTCGAAGATGTCACGGATGTTGCTCTCAGACTCACCGAACCACATGGAGAGCAGTTCGGGTCCCTTGATGGAGATGAAGTTGGCCGCACACTCGTTGGCGACAGCCTTGGCAAGAAGCGTCTTACCGGTACCAGGAGGACCGTAGAAGAGCACACCTCGTGATGGGGACATGCCGAACTTGAGGAACTTGTCTGGGTGGTCAACGGGATATTGCACGGACTCAATGAGTTCGCGCTTGACGTCCTCCAAACCACCAATGTCCTCCCATCGGACGTTGGGCACCTCGACAACAGCGACCTCACGGAGAGCTGATGGGTTAGATACGCCGAGAGCGAAACGGAAGTTCTCCATGGTAACACCGAGCGAGTCGAGCACTTCGGCATCGATGGTGTCCTCATCAAGGTCGATCAAATCCATCTTCTCACGAATCTGCTGCATGGCAGCCTCAGAGCACAGCGACGCCAAATCCGAACCGACATAACCGTGGGTCTCGGCGGCGATGGTCTGCAGGTCGACGTCGTCGGCAAGCTTCATGTTCTTGGTGTGGATCTGCATGATTTCGAGACGGCCGGTGGGGTCGGGAATACCGATGTCGACCTCACGGTCGAAACGACCGAAACGACGGAGAGCAGGGTCGATAGAGTTGGGACGGTTGGTGGCGGCCATGACGACAACGTTGGAGCGAGCCTTCATGCCGTCCATGAGGGTAAGAAGTTGAGAGACAACACGGCGCTCGACCTCACCGTTGGTCTTCTCACGCTTGGGCGCAATTGAGTCGATTTCATCAATGAAGATGATGGCGGGCGAGTTCTTCTCGGCCTCCTCGAATGCCTTGCGCAGATTTGACTCTGATTCACCGGCCATCTTGGACATGATTTCGGGACCATTGATCAGGAAGAAGAAAGCACCAGTCTCGTTTGCAACGGCACGAGCCATCAGTGTCTTACCGGTACCAGGAGGGCCGTACATGAGAATACCACGCGGGGGCTTGATACCGATCGACTTGAAGAGCTGAGGATGCCGCAGTGGCAGCTCAACCAACTCTCGGATCTGTGCCATCTGCTTTCGGCAGCCACCAATGTCGTCGTAGCCGACCTCGTTGAGGTTGCCCTCTTCATCTTCACGCTGGATGGGCTCGCCTTCGCAGTGGATGACGGTATCTTGTGCGACGATACCAAACTCTGGTGGGTCGACTTCAACGACCTTGAACTCGACTTGTCGCATACCACCGCGGGCTGTGAAGGTGTCGCCTTGGCGGACCGGTCGGTAGGCTTCGCGGAAGTATGGCGCAAGGAAAACATCGAAGAGCGAACCGGTGATACCCTCGACAGTGTCGGCAATGGGGAGGACTGCAATGCGCTTGGCCTGTGATAGAAGTCAGAATTGAGCAGAAATCGCAGTTTTGTAATAATGACACATACATATTTGATGTCGGGGCACGGGTGGATGGTGATAACGTCGCCGTGCTTGACCCGCAAGTTGTGGCGAACAACACGGTTTATCCGCGCTGAGCCGTCATCGAGATCGTCATCAGCGAGCACGATGAGGACGGTGTCCTTTCGCTTCTTGCCCTTTACCAGGACTGTGTCACCGCGGAAGAGCTGGAGGGTCTCCATGGTGTTGTTTGAGAGGGCGATGATAGAGTTGTCATCGTTGACGGCATCGGTAACGCTACAAAGGTCAGTATCCAATTCAAAGTTTCATTTCCAGATGTACTCACATCAGCGAGTTTGGCTTCTTCTTCTTCTTGAGAATGGCGGTCGCGGTCTCATCGTTCTGTGGCGGGTTAGCGGGGCCGTCGCATCAAGAGCATTGATCAGTGCCTACCTCCTTGGGCTCAGCGCCGTCCGGGTTTCTATCGAGATGTAAGTATATTGTCAATTCTAGAGCTGGTGGCAATCAACTCACTTTGAGAGATCCGGCTTCGGCTTCGTGTGGTCTGGTTCAGCCGACATGTTGCTGATGTGTCTATGTGATGTGCTGCGGGATTCGGAATTCCGGTACAAAGAGTGACAGTTGACGCAGCAACGCAGGTGTGAAGGGTATCGGTGGGTAGGGTGGGGGGTTAGATGGAGTTTAAACGACCTTCTATGCCTGGGGCGTGGTGGTTTAAGTAAGTTGGAGCTTGAACAGTCGGTGATCTCACTGTTAGAGCTAGCTCAATGTTGCCTTAAGGTCCGTGCTCGGTCCGCAACGCCATTGGAAGTTGCTGGAACCGCTTAGACAAGCAAAACTAAGTACTAAGAAACACTGTGTCCCCTTCACCGCGAGCTGTATCCCATTGCCACCTACAGGCGCCGGCTTGGCCAATCATTATCCCGTGGGTACCAATACTAGCCGTACCCAACTGAGACTGGCGCTGCTACGCATCCTCCTGGAGCCTGCTACAGCCTCACTTACGCCACCATAGCAACGCCAAGAGAGATATCCATATCAGTTCTTCGGGTGTTTACGATAAGTGAATCTGGCCCGAACCCGCCGGCGGAGTATAACAGCTTGACATGCCCTCACTGTTTCTCGCTCTCTCTCTCTCTGGATATTAATAAGACTAATGGCCAACGTGGCTCCAGCAAAAGCAAGGTGCGGTGGTTTCACGTTGTGATGGGGGGGCCTTCACGTATCGATAAGGCATATTGCCCGAAGCCCTGATTTCGTATAGTACAATGACTGCCTGCTGGTATGAGACAGTAGATATTCAATTCTATCAGGTCAGCAGCACATGTGTCCTGTGAAATTAGAAAAAACAAAAGACGTTTGTCACTATAAATCATTTTAAGATATGAAAGTACTACTCATCAATCATCAACCAAGTCCAAGTGTTCAAATGACCATGACTCGCCTACTACGCTCAAAACACTGAATGACTACAACTACACAACACTCATTTCATAAGTGAAGGGTCACATTACAGCTCATAAAGCAAAAAGATACCACCAATTCACAGTGTAAAATATTAGATTTCCTGTAAAATCTCTCATTTCGAAAGCATAAACCTACGAGTCTCATCTTATCATGACTATTCCCCATAGTTTAGCAATAAAGCCAGCTCTCTCATTTGCTCATCAAGGGCTTCCAAGTCCTCTTCTCTCGCCCTTGGATCTGCAGCCTGACGTTGTCTCAGGCCCCGCATGGCACCCCTGACAATTTGCAATCGAGTCTTCTGAGCTATGTAATCTGCCACTCCGCTTCTCATCGTGCGTTTTAACCTCTCAATATACTGGTCATTTCCGCGGTACTATCGCCGTTCAGCAAGCCATTGGTTCGTCTCCGTCCAGGCTTGCTTGGTGGCTTCTGGGATAGTCGCGCTGCTTGCACTGTTGACTCCAGCGTAGATGGCGTCCCACATGGAGAAAGCCGTCGTGAGGTCTTCAACAAAGTTGAGCGATTGTGGGAAGTAGCGTGTTGATGCTGTTTCAATTACACGGGCTTTGGTTTCCGCAGCTGTGGGATCGGCGTCGTTACTAAGTAACTCATCAAGGTAGGATTTGACGGCAATGCTCAGTGCGCAGTTGTTCGGTAAAAGGAAGGGAAGTCTGATGAACGTTAGCATGCTACAAGAGACGAAAAGTCTCCAAAATCACTTACTTCATAGCGACCGATGTAATATCAACATGACGATTGGCACAGCCAGTCAAAAACATGTGTGTACACGCCACTTCGACAAGTTCCCGCAGAGTCTGACGGACAACGTTGATGATGGAGTTATATCCGAGAAGGTGTTGGCTAAGAGGACCAGTGAAACCAATCGGTCGGTGGTGCAAAATACCAAGACCAGCAACGCGAGATACTAGCATGTTCGAGTTCTTGTCCTTTGCTGTGGGGTTGTTAGCTATGTGAACTTGCACGTATCTAAAACTGTTGACTCACTGCTACCGCGCATTGGTGCGCCGTTGTATGTAGGGAACATGTTGATATCTGAAGTCAAGAGACCCATGCGGATCAACTCGACTGCCAGCACCGCTGCCTCTTCATGCTCTGGCTTACCCTTGAGTCCAGAGATAACAGCCGCAAGAACCTTTCCCCATTGGGTTAAGTTGTGCGTCTTCTGGTCCACGTACTCACGTAAAGCGAGGAAGCGCCATATTGAGTTGTAAAGGATCTCAGTGGAGGATGCGAGTGGATTCTTGTGTTCCTTCTTAGATATGGTCTTGGCGGCGAAGTCAGCATCTTGCAAAGACAAGATGGCTGCCCCGAGGATTCCACAATCCTAGTGTTCATGTTAGTACCAGAAGAAAGTTAGTTGGGAAGATTGTTTACCTTGTATTTTCCAACGGCGTCTTTGAATGTGGATTCCTTGACATTCCATGTGTCGACAATGGAGGGAGCTTGTGCTTCTGATGGCCTCTCGACGTGGATAGTAGTGGATGCCAATTTCCTATTTGAATCCGGAGGCGAAAACCAGTTTGTCTGCTCAAGATCGTTGTGTCGATACCAGTTGTGCAGAGAGCTGGAAAGCAGGTTTATGACCGATGTCCGCAGTGGAATTAGCTTCGAGCTCACAAGATTCCTGTATTCCGGCGAGTCTCCTCCGTCCATAGGGGGAACTTCGAATATCTCGCCAGTAGTACGCCACTGAAGGATGCGTGGGCTGATGAGGCCCTTTGACATGTAGTGTAGTATCTCATCTGGTAGCCTACGACCCAGGTACTCGACTGCATCATTTGGTATAGAGGCCGGGTTCTGAGGCTCAATCTTTCCGTCCTCTGTGTAGACAGGATGGTTCTTGACAGCCAGGCGTGCCTTTTGGTACCTAGTCACATACTCTTTCCCAGAGGGCGGGACATCGTTGTTGCTAACGACAACAGAGTAGCCCGACTGACCGTTGCTCATAATCATCTTGATGGCACTGTAGGGTTTCAAAAGCTCTGCCCTATTTGGCGCATCCAATATGGGAAGTGTAGGGAGGAATGGTGTTCCAGCCAGTATGCAAGTGTCAAGAAAGATGTCTTCGGAAATCTGAGGTGCGCTGACGAACTTGGACAGATCGGCTATACATTTCTCTCGTCGTATAAAGCTGAATTGCCGCGTCTCAAAGTCCCATGATGTGATGAGCCGGGTGGCTTCGAAGATGAGGGTGTCTGACGAAGCGGCGATGGCGTGGACGTATTCGGCCTTCTCAAGATATGCCAGCTGTACATTGTTAGGCCTTGCTGTCACATCTGTGTTGTATCTGTTACCTGAGCCCAGGCGCTGTATGGTGCAACCGTCCAGCGAGTCTTTTGTTCGGTAAGGATAGATTGCAATGCGCGAAAGAGGTCTTCTGGTGTGACGTATGCTGCAACCAGTCAGTACCGTATGCAAACCACGTCCTCTCCGACTGCCATACTTGACTCTCCAAACCGAGCGACTGAAGCCTCAGCCTGGTGGCTGTCGTACAAATTCCATGCATCTGCATTCACAGTCGCCTCTGCGGTCTTGTGCCCGAATGGATTTCCTTGCTTTGTAATGTCCAACCCACCAAATACAAAGTAAGGCTCAATCTCGAAACTGCGGAAAGCGGCCAGATCTTCTTCAATGTGTTGCGCCAATGCCAGTGGGAGACCTCCAAGTGCGGGGACGAGGGGCTCCTTTGCGCGGGGGTGGTTGAGAATACGCTGGTTGAGATACTCGGCGGCCTCAATGCCTACGCGACAGCCGCGCAACTGCTCGAGCTCGCCCGTCTCGCTGAAGGCGGCCGTCCATTGCACAAAGTCGCGGATCATGGCGCCAGTCGCGTGTGTGGCTTGCCAGATAGGCGGTGGGAATGAGGGGTGGAATTAAAGAAAAGGTGGTCTAATATAAGTTTGGGAATGATACCGTGGTACTAGTGTGGTAGGACTATGGCCAGGGCAACCGTGGATGAATTGGAAGTGTTTGCGGGGTGCTTGTGTAGGGAAATTGGGAGCTCCGACGCAGCTCCACGTCTTGGCGTGTAACGTGGGAACTTTGGAATCCCTGATCAGCCGGGCGCTAGTTCAGGTACAGCGCCGCACTGCTACGCGAGTGCATGGCGTATGGAGGTGTAGTCAATGAGCGGGCGGCATACTTCAGCTGGAAAACCTTAAATTTGGAAATGGCAAGCATTACACACTCTCTGCGTAGACTTCGTTTAGTGCATCAGCCATTGGAATACGAACATTGCCCCTCACTTGTGTTATCTATACCCTTCATCCTTTCAATCTCCTATACGAACTTTCTACAAAATGTCTAGCACCGAGCACGACCAGGGTGCTATCCCGGTCATCGACATATCAAATCCATCCGAAGAGGTAGCCCAACAAGTTCTCGATGCAGCATCTAAGCATGGCTTTCTCTACATAAAGAATGATGGTGCAACCATCCCACCTCAAGACATAGACGATATGTTCAAACTTGTAGGACCAACAATCACATCATCAAACAAACAATCGAGATTGACCAAATCAGAGCAAACAATTCTTCGCCTCCCCAAAAGAACAAAAGGCCGAATACGCAATCCACTCAGACAAAGCCGGCGGCATAAACCGCGGTTGGGTATCCATGCAAGGTGAATCGCTCGACCCCCAAGGCCAAAAGGTAAGAGTAACCCCCCAAATTCCCCCTTCACCTCCACTCTCCTAACAAAACAACTCCCCTTCGTAGCAAGGCGACCCAAAAGAAGCCTTCAACATCGCCCCACCGCAACCAGCCCTCCAACCCCTCCCTTCCCCCCTCTCCTCCTCCACGCCCTTGATATCCCGCTTCCAAACCTCCTGCCACACCCTCTGCACACAGATCCTCTCCCTCCTCTCCACCGCCCTCCTCATCCCCGAAAAAGACTACTTCAGCACCCGCCACGACCAATCTCGCGGCCCTTCAGGTACCATCTTCCGTCTACTGTACTACCCCAAGACATCATCGTCTGCTACGGCGACATCCGACGAAATCAGCATCCGCGCAGGCGCGCACTCGGATTACGGGAGCGTCACGCTGCTGTTCCGGCTCCCCGGGCAGGCTG